TTAAGTTGTGCGAACGAGCTCTAGTTTCGGCTGATCCAACAGTTATTTCTTTGGGAAGCCTCCAACAGGTGTGCAGGCTTCTTTTTGCATAATAGTTAAATATGTTTATCACTTCCATTTCTTTGACGGCCCACATGAATCCTCAATTTGGATTGACTGTGTTATTCAATTTTTAGGCTCATGTTTTCAGCTCCCAATCTGGAGGTTGTGCAGCTTTCCTTTCAAATCACAACCCAAATTCCTTTGCCAGGGTAATGTTCAATAACATGCACTACAACATACCACCTTGGTCAATCAGCATTTTACCTGACTGCAGAAATGTAGTATTCAACACTGCAAAGGTAAATTGTTTTTATTTAATTTTTCCAACTCTTACATTAAATATTTCTAGATTCTCCTAAAGATATTATCTTTAAACAGATATCGTAGTTTCAGCTAATATTTTCATTTTAGTTAAATCATCAATAGTTATTCTTATTATTCCAGTAAGTACCATAGAATAGTCAATTCCTTCGTTACTGTTTCTGAGAATAAAGTTTCTTTTTGTGTCTGTGTTTATCTGCAGGTTGGTGTTCAAACATCTCAAATGCAAATGTATCCTATTAATGTTCAGTCACTCATGTGGGAGAGGTATGATGAGGAGGTTGCTTCATTGGAAGAAAATTCATTGATTACCACAACTGGGCTGTTAGAGCAGATAAATGTTACAAGGGATACAAGTGACTACCTGTGGTACATAACTAGGTGTGACTTTGACCAACTTCTTGTCTCAATTTAATCATGAAATAACTATCTGATGTTAAGACTTTCTCAAAACATTGACATGTCTTGGTTAATATTGAGATTACTGTTTGATTACTAAAACAATGCTTCATATACTAAATAATGTGGACTCTACTATCTTTTTTGTAGTGTTGATGTCAGCCCAGCTGAAGGATTTTTACGAGGCAGAAAGCGTCCTGTCCTCATGGTCGAGTCGGCTGGTCATGCACTTCATATTTTTGTTAATGGACAACTGTCAGGTATATAGCATATCCATTTTCTTTTTGTATGTCTTCATAAATAGGTGATTCTTCATTCAGCAAGAGACTAAATTTTACTTATGTCTTGGCAGGTTCTGCTTATGGGAGCAGGGAAGATAGGAGGATCAAATTTTCTGGGAATGTCAATCTTCGTGCTGGAACTAATAGAATTGCACTGTTAAGTGTGGCAGTTGGATTGCCGGTGAGTTACTTTTATCTTTTTTTTTCATTAGTCTGAATTGAATTATGTAGTAAACTTTCTAAATCTCTGCTGCTATTATTGGGGCAAAGAACGCCGGGGTGCATTATGAGTTGTGGAGTACTGGAGTACTGGGTCCTGTTGTGCTACATGGGCTTGATGAAGGAAGTAGAGATTTAACATGGCAGAAATGGTCATATCAGGTTCTTTTGCTCTGCTAACTATGGTTTTCTTTACAATGTACAAGTTCTCTGTGCATCAGAAGTGACAAAATCTTTTCTCATTTTTGCAGCTTGGTCTAAAAGGAGAAGCTATGAACCTAAACTCTTTGGAAGGTGCTTCTTCTGTTGAATGGATGCAAGGTTCATTAGTAGCTCAAAATCAACAGCCATTAACATGGTATAGGGTAGGTGCACAGACCTGACTCTGGTCTGTAATGCTATATTCTTTCAGAATCTAAGACTTAGCCACTAGACTTTTCTTTTCAGGCATATTTTGATGCTCCTGATGGGAATGATCCATTGGCTTTGGATATGGGTAGCATGGGGAAGGGACATGTGTGGATAAATGGACAAAGTATTGGAAGATACTGGACTGCATATGCCCCAAGTGAATACTGCAACTCATGCAGTTATAGGGGGACATACCGATCTCCCAAGTGTCAGAGTGGTTGTGGCCAGCCAACCCAACGATGGTAACTTCAGCATGAGAGTTATTCCTTTTCTTTTGTATCTGCAAGTTTTAATTATATGTTTCCTGCAACTCTTTTATATTAGTATTAACCCAACTTAAGCAATATATTTACTTTTAAAAAAATCAGAGAGAAGGGATTCATACGGTTGAATTCCTCTTCTATGGTTATACAAAAAAGAAAAGTATTTTGTGTCGTTAGGCAACGTCGTGACATCTTAATCAATTAGGAGTACCGATGATAATTGTGACACGCAAAGAAACACTCATGGCTATGACTGTGTCTGAAAATTGAAGTGTATCTACTTAACTAATGACTGATATAGCAGACATTCAAGGAATAAAAGATATGTTACCATTATCTTGTGGTTAGTGGAACACAAGTTGGATATTGTGCTGATAAATTTTGGAAATAGTGTAACATTCTTATTTTTCATCGAAATGTAGGATCTAATTGTTGGATATTCAGGTATCATGTACCACGTTCCTGGTTGCAGCCGACCAGAAATCTACTGATAGTATTTGAAGAGCTTGGAGGTGATGCGACAAAGATCTCGTTAGCGAAGAGATCTGTTTCTAGTGTTTGTGCTGATGTTTCTGAATGGCATCCCACGATAAAGAATTGGCACATTGAGAATTATGGCCGGCCTGAAGAGCACCACAAGCCAAAGGTTCACCTGCGATGTGCACAAGGACAATTTATATCTGCCATCAAATTTGCTAGCTACGGGACACCGATTGGAACTTGTGGAAATTTTCAACAGGGAGCATGCCATTCACCAAATTCTCACACCATCCTGGAGAAGGTTACCACACTTCTCTTTTATCTTGCTGCCTTTCGATAAGCATATCTATTTTTGTTTATTAATATCGTACCCTATGAGATCAGATTTTTTGGAACTTCCTCATACAATAAGCATGAAAAAACTATAAGAAAATGCATGAAATTTGGGATGGCCAAGGTGTGCTACGAATGTGACCTATTAAAGTGCGATCGTAGCAGGTGTTGAGGGTGCATTAGTTGCCTTACACAGGGAATGTGGCCCTTGCACTCATATCATATAGTTTATATGGAAGACAAGATAGACCAATAGAAAGTAGCTATCTCTATATACTCATCATGCCTTGCATATAACTGTAACATGCATCTACTTTACATTTTTGCATGTATAGTCAAATGGATGAATTATTCTTTTTCTTTTTTCTTTCTGTATGAGAAGTGAAATTTGAATCCTTGTTCTATCTGAACAGATGTGCATTGGAAAGGAGAAATGCATGGTTGCCATCTCCCAAAACATCTTCGGCGGGGACCCATGTCGAAATGTCATGAAAAGAGTTGCAGTGGAAGCCATATGTTCTTCAGCTGCTCAGCCGACATCTTGAGCTCCAGAAAGCACAATCATAGGAAACTTCTTTTGCTGCTTTGAAAGAATGACAGGAAAAAATTTGGCATAACTGTAAAGTTCTCAAGTCGATCAAAGGTAGCTTGTCTTGTGTAGCAGTTACATGTAGAGGGAAAAGTTAGTCTGTAGTTAGTGCATTTGTTCTACCAACTTCTCTATTTGAATTCTGAGACATTCTCTGGTCCACCATCATATTATCAGAAGTTGGTGCCAGAATGAAGATCAAGAGGAAAGCAAAAGAAAACCACTACTTAATTGCTTTCATCTTGTTCCTTTTTTTTCTGTTATTGCAGGAAGGTGTCATCAAAAAATGGTTGTATCAAGTGGTTGATTCTAATGCTCTGACATTTCTAACATGCTGTCTGCTGCCATTCTTTTTCTTTTTCATTTCCTCTTCCTGGATGACATCATAAGTTGGTGCCAGAATGGAGAACAAGTGGAAATCCAAAGAATTCTACTGCTTGATTGCCTTCATCTAGTTCCTTCTTCTTCTTCTTCTTCTTCTTCTTCTTCTTCTTCTTCTGTTATTGAAGGAAGGTGTCATCTGATATAGTTCTCCATTTTCTTTTCCATTTCCTGGATGACATAGACAAGGAACTTGGCATTTGAGGGCCATAGAAGAAAAAAATATGCTTAAATTGTGTTGATGTAATTTGTTGAGGTTTCCAAACTGAAGCTGTGTATATGCAATCTCTAACCCAAGTTCCTAATGCAGCATTCTTGCTCTTCAGCATGGCATGGTGTTTGCAAGAACTGTGCAGGTGTTACAGTACAGTCAAGTTAAAAAAAAAAGAGGAAAGGATAGTATTGATAGATCTGCATAGTGTATGGTATTTCTTTAGCCAAGCTCATGCTCCATAACAAGGACAAGCCACAGGGATCATGAACAGTGATGTTGGATCTTGTCCCACCTGAATCCACTGCACAATGGGATGGACCAAACTGGCCAAGGAAAAGAAACAAAACAAAACTGGTGATGTTGTCTCCCCTGTGATCTTGTTCAAGCTGTTCTTGTTGGATGTCTCGTCTTGTAAAGCAATGTGACAATGATTGAACCTTTTCCCAGTGTTCCCTTCTCCACTGGGAACTGAAGGCTTGGCTTGTCTTGAACCTGTAAAGATATGATGGATTCTACTGCCATAGGCTGCAGGCTCACATGAAAGTGTTGCCTGAGTAATTTAGCTTATTTATTGTGTTCATTTAGCTTGTGGGAAAAAAAAAATGGATATTGTACTTATTTGTTTGTTTGTAGAATATAGGAAACAAATGTTGAAGTGAATGAAATTTTTATTGACCTTAAATTATTAAAATTATGTGCAATTAATGGGTGAAATGTACTGTCCATGATAAATTTCTTTATACAGAAGAATTATGCTGTTCATAGAAAACAAGATTTCACTGAATGTTGAATCACTGCTGCAGCTGCTTGATGTTAAATTGTAAGATTTTGCAAAATTCATTTACTAGCAGTGCCTATGATATCCCAATTGTGGCTTTTACAGTTATGTATCTTGGATAATCAGAAGAATCACTTTGCATTAGAAGAAAAAGGATGAGGAAGTCTTGTAATTACAGCCTGAGTGATAACCAAGAAAGATGATCTCAGAGTCATGTAATTACATGTAAGAGCCAGATTAAGTTCTCTTTTCAAAGCATGAAGTGGTGCCAAATAAGAAACAAGATTCATTTGAATAGGGTACCACACTTCCCCCATGTTTCTTGGCCTTGAAAACCATCCAAATAGTATACACAGCTCATTATAGTTAATTTGGAAGAAATTTTACATGTTCTTTGTCTCATATTACACAAAAATATGCTTCTATCTGTACAATGTGCTACCCTATAATCCCACCAGATAACCACCTATTTATGTTACATTGTTTACCATACTAAACACACTCTCTTATATAAGATTGCAACAATGCCTAGAAGGCATCTCAGGACAAATTATTCAGGTTCCAAGACTTAAATAGCAACTATTGTGACAAAAACATGCAGCAAATGTGTTGACCATACAGGCGTCGCCGATCCCCCATGTTCGCATAATTGTAATCAGCGCCCAGAAGGAGAATTTGTGCCGAAAACATTGTTCCCTTTCACTGTGAGAAAGCTGTGCTGATTGTCTGATATAGGAAGGCCGACATCACAATGCTGCAGCCCCCGAGTGAGGCACACCATGCCACATCCAAATCAACCTAACTAAGCCATCTGATAAGCCAAAAACCTACCTTTCCCGTCCGGGTGGCCAATAACATCTTGTAAGAAGCTGGAATCTTCTCCAATTGGCCTTTGTTCATTAGCCTTCAGATATTTATAGGAATCTTGTGCAGATGCTTCATGCTGAAAAGTGGCAGCTGCTTCAGCAACATTCATGGTAATGGGTCTTGAGGAGTCGATTATCTGGCCTGTTTGGTATCGTCCAGTTCCATACATTTGCAAGTCTTCATGATCTTCAGACGATTGAAAGTCTTCTTTAAGTTTTGGTGGATTTTCTGAAGAGTTTGAGTCAATCTCAGTATCACCAATCTCTTCTTTGTACATGTCTTCGATCATAGGCTTCCAAAGGCGAACGCGTGCATTTATGAACCAGTTTGTAACCTGAATGAAAGGTAATCAAGGCACAAAAAAACAAACACTTACATTGCTTTCAAAGTTTATGCACCGGGGCTGCCTTTTCTCTCAGATGCAGCCTGATGTGTAATTATTATATGAATTTGAATTGCCTTTTATATTATAATAAATACCATTAAAATGTGGTATATATATTTTTTATAAGGGAAGCAAGTGGAATCATGAATAACTGTATTGATGTCCAAACTACATTTACAAATGAAAAAAAAAAAAAATTCATGCTTGACACAGGACTTGCTACCAGTCCATTGTTCTAGAGCACAAAAAATAAGCTAATCAATTGGGCAGCAAACACAGCTATGATCCTAGACACAATTCCTTCCTGATAAAAGTGTTGAGAGGTAAAATGTGGACATGAGACTATGTAAGAGATGAAAGAGAAGCTATGAGACAAGAAAAGGGATCACAATGGAGACCTTTTGGGTGAAAAAGAAAAAAAAAAAATACTGTAGTAATGATTGCCATTTAAGCAAGTACGTTCCTCTCATCATTAGCACTAAAGGGAGCAACATCAAAAGAACACGATGGCTCCCTAGCAAAAGTTAAAAACCTAAATCAAGTAGGTATACCTGACTTCTTGACAAGCCTGTCTGTCTTGCAAGTATTAGCTTCTCAGATTCCTTCGGGTAGCTGGCAAAACATATTATCCTGTATCCATCAGTATTCAAAAGCATTCATTCTGTATATAAAAGAACCACATGAAAGAAAAGGTAGTTGAGCTTACGGATGAAGGAAGTGCTCAAACAGCCAAGCTCGAAGAATTGAGACAGATGACTCAGGTAAACCCCTCTGTGGCCTCCAGGTATGCTGTTGCATTGAACCAAATTGCTGCAAGGCACTCTGCTGCCTTAATTTCTGGTCTATGTTTCGAAGGCGAGATAACAAACCACTCTTGCTACTTGAGTTGTCTGCCTCTCCAAGATTTTTCCTTGTAGCTTGAATTTGACCATTGATGGCATCTCTCAAGCAGCGAAAATGACAAGAAATAGTTTGAAAGGCAAGTGCAGTGTATGGTTTAGCAGTTCCACAACCAGCTATTGCATCAAAATATGACACTATTATCTGCATCTGATGGTAATACTGTTTATATCTTCTATCAATCTGCAAGGAAAAAGAAACAAATGAAATACAGGTTAATCAAAGAAGAAAGACGACGAATTAGATCACACTACAAAAGCATATCTCATCGATACAATTTGCATAATACTGTAATTGTTAACATTGTTCCACCCAACAAGTCCAAGCCTCTTTAAAACTCTTTATCTGAATATTTTTTAGCTAAAACTAAGCTAATACTACAATCAAAACCAATTTTAGCATTAAACACACATTGAACTCGGCCTCTGATTCAAGTATCCAGATATCTTCCCATGAACTTTAGTCAATGATGGCTTCCCAACTTAAATTGGCTTTGATGATGATAAAATCTAACTAAACTGGCTTTGATAAATTTTTAACTTAAAATTAACATTCTTACAGTTATCCTATATTAGAGGACATCAACTAACTTAAAATTAACCTTCTTACAATCATCCTAAACTTAATGAAATTCTAATTGACAACAAAGATTAGAAAACATTAACAAAATAGGAAGAGGTCAGAAAATAGCGTGTACCTCATCCAACATCCCCAATAGATTTGAGACCTTGTTTTGAAGGTCCTGCTTTACAAGAGGTGAGAGCCCACTAGACCAATTAACAGTGGCCTCTTGAGGGTTTGAAATCAGCCCTTCATTTTTTGATCCTCCACTACCATCCTTAAATGTAATAGTACCAGCAGAAGTAGGAAGACTTTGGCTTTTATCTGTTTTTTGCTTCAAAGCCTTCCTGACATTAACAACTTCGTCAAGTAATTCTTGTGCTGCCCGAAGATATTTAGAATTTGGAATCAACCTTGTAAGACTTGTTAGTCCATTAGGGGAGGCATTATCATGAAAATTTCTGGTTTGAAAGTGTTCCTCCCTGAATGAACCAACATTTCCAGAAGTTGACTGATTAGAATCAAAGAAGGGGATATTTGAGGTAGTAGATGGATACTGAATTGAAGGAACTGGCATCTGTGTGCTAAGGCTAAGTGATAAACCTTGATTTTGCAGTGTAACATTTGAGTGTTGCAATGATAAGCTTAGTCCATGTATGATGCTAAGCTGTGTCTGCACACTCGTCTGAGGATCAGCAGCATGAAGTAGATCATCTGTTCCAAGTATGGAACCTCTATCTGTCTGCATAAATAACATCTCACTTCTTCCATTCTTCCAAGCATTATTAGCATGGTTGCCAAGACACGAGGGGACCATAACAGAATTCCCTGTAGTCAAGTCTGGTGAAATGATGGTGGTGGCAACAGGAAGTTCAATGTGATTCTGATGGGTTTGAGCACCGCCAGCTACTGCATCTCTATACGGACCAGAATTCAAGAAGCTAAGGTACATCATGTTGCCAGGACCTGGTGATTCAGAATATGAAGCGTGCCCTGGATCCCTCAGGCCAAGATCTGGAGAGGTTCCACTTTGGTCACTAGATATTGAACAGAAAGTAGACATTTTTATATTCCTTGATCTTAAACAGGGCAAGATCTTCAGAAATGACAGTATGACGGATCAGTGCAATATTTCGGCTACAAAATAGTAACTGCCTTAGTCATGGGAATCTGAAGGAACTCCTCTGCAGAAAGTTCATGCTCCTTCAGAAGAAATGAATTATGCTGCAACAGTCCTGAAAATAAAGAAAAGAAATTAAACCAAATGAAGAACTGAACAAAGACCAACTTCAAACACAGAAAATAATCAATAAATCATAGAACAAGCATGATCAAATAACTGCATTCTAAAATGAAATATGTCATGACGACAATAAAAACAAACAACTAATGATCACAACAAAAGAACTATATTTTCTACAGAAAGTAATTTCTGTATGTGCTGATCATCTATATTTTGTTAGCCTTTTCAATTCGTCAGACTGAAAGCAATGTTTTGTGAGAAGTTAATCACATACAATCTGGAGGGTTGCACATAAATCAAACTAAAAAAGAACAAACAGAGATCAAACTAGATGAATAGATTGGATAAACAGATGGAGCTCAGAATTTGTTTAAATTAATTGACAGGAGTAGCCAGAGATGCCCGGCCAGAATTTCTTCCAAATCAACAATCATGGAATAAATAAACTCTCAAAGCTTACTCAATCAGGACAAACGATCAACTAAACCGGGTTTCTTTCAGAAAGGCTACATGCTTGCACGATGTCCACAAGGTTAGGCAGCTATTAAAAAAATATTATACAAATTCAGTTTAAACTCTGAGCTCTTTGAACTAAAAGAACAACTAAATAAAGGAAAAATAAGAGGCAGAAAACCTTGGAAAGAACCCAAAGAATTGTCCTCTAAAAACCCTCATTGTATCTGTGAGCAAAAGGACTTCGATCCTAGAATCACCTATAAGCCAAAACCCACCATCAAAAACTCCATGGACCATACCTTTTACCGCAGCCAACATTCCAAAAATGTCAAAATTGCAGAATTTACAGAATCGAGCAACGAAAAGAGCATCATAAAAAAAAAAAAACACTTTAAGCCAAAAATCAGAATTTGATAAAGAGGGAGCAAAGAATATGAGAAGACTTATCAGATAGAAGAAGCAGAAGTAGAATATCTAAGAGCAAATAAATCAGATAAAAGAGTTCTGTTGCACAAGCTACTCAAACTTGCAATAGAGGAGATGGGTTCCTCAAAAAAGAACTTTTTGTATAGGAAGAGAATCATCCCAAAAGCTTGTTGAACCCACCATATAAAATTCTCGAACAAAAAAAGTAGACAGGTAGATAGAGACGGAAAGAGAGAGACAGGAAAGATAGTTGAAATGGTGCTCATGCTGCTTTGTAGTCCTCATCGAAACAAGAAAGAAATAGACAGGGAGATAAAGAAACAAGGGAGACAAGTAATATCAAAGCCCAGTACCTGAGATAGAGAAGGGTCAAAGGAAGAGGGGAAGGGCGACAGCCGCTGCTGTCTGCGTTCCTCATGGGGAAGAAGAAAGCATGAAGCCGAAGCCGAAGCCGACCGACCAAGAAGAATCCCAAGTCCTCAATTCAAAAGACGCAAAGCTTCCCCCTTTGTTCTTCTGCCCTCATGATGCATCTTTTCTAAACCATCTCGTCACCTATATCACCATCTTCAATTGCTACTATCAAATTAACGACCAGTTTAAACATCCGCCCTCTCTTTCTCATATCAAACTACCATCACAAGACCTCAAAACCCCATCTTGCACGCGAGATTACCCTATCTTGCTCTTTTTCCTAACCCGTGAGTCCTCAAAGGAGGTTCTTTCCCAATGGCTTCTTGGGAGTCGGTGATGAGGATTTTTAAGGTGTTCTATCTCCTAACCACCAGTTGGTAGACCTAAACGTCCTCTTAATCTCTCAAACACCAATTTGCCCACCTCTTTAATCTCAAACTGCTTTCATTCTTCTTTCCCCTCAGTATCCTGTGTTCCCAAGCATGGAGAAGATGCTGACATCTCACAGCCCAGACCTGATAGAATCACGGAGCTGTTCTCCTCTAACCCTCTCTTCCAGTAAATGGTGTGTCACTCCCTGACCTAGAATAATTGACACCATTATTAGGTTGATTGCCAAGCTTGTGGGGCTCCCCACCAAAAGCTTGGCAATCAATGCTTGCCTTTGTTGCCTGTATGGGTTGTGACATGTGTTGATGACAAAGCACTCCCTCCTCAGCTTCCATTTAATCAACTATGTCATTGGTTGCTCAGCATATCTCTTTGTTTGCCGGCTGCATCTGCCTGCCCCATTAGTATTTTAGTATTCAATTCTGGCAGCTCATCACTGGCAGCATTAGATGATGAAATGGCAAGCTGTCTCATGATGATTGGCCAGCTTTGTATCTTGTGAGTGTCACATGAACTTAACAAGAACATTTCAGAACAAGTGGGTATTAATTTAACCATGGACTGTAACATGAACAGAAAGCAGGAGATTTGTCTCAGAAAGTCTCAACATAAACTACAGCAAATGGGAAAAGAATTATGGATGAGACAAAATGGATTAGTAGTCAGAACAGAAGAAAAGGCATAATCAAACAACCACCACCTCATCAAGCTGTAGCTTAAGATATTGTTGAAGAGAAGAATGAGAGTTTTTATAGTAAAGGATTGACAGAATCAATTGGCGACTCAAAGGCAATCAATGTGCAGATTTGTTGTTCTCCATTTGTCTCTGTCCAGCAAGTTGAATAGAAGCATGCCTCCTACATAAAAATTGCCCATAAGACAAATCTTAATGTTGTCCTTACAGCATAAAAATATGTTCTGATTGATTACTTCAGACTCTTTTAACAATTGAGAATTAACAATTCACATCAGAAAACATCTACCTTGTTGGTTGAGGTGTACTGCATAGAATTGTGGCCTACAGTCCTTGAAGATTAGTTTTCTTATGGACCTAATCATTGCATGCATTGAATTCTCCATAAAGGTAATCTACTATAAAACATTGCATGAATCCAAACATATGAGTTAGCTGTTTTTTTGGGAAATTGTACCATAATATTTAAGCACAATCCTTGCATATAACAAACACTTCAAATAAGCCACCATAAAGATTTGGGCTGTCATGATCTCTTTGCATGAACACAAGTTACCTCAAGAAGTAATGTCATTGGCCTACTGCTGGAGTTGTAACTGGTTCATTCTGATTTCAGCTGAACCAGAAACATGTAATAATTGTTCCCATGCATTAATGAACTGGGGAAATGCTTCATTGAAGATGATGACTCTTGAGAGTTCCTCACCATGCACTGGAGGAACTGGGAAGGTTGTTCTCCACAGGTATGTGAATAATCTAAAAGAAGTTAGTAATGAGACATCCACACCCACATAACAGATGGTCAATCTTGATACAAAGGCAAGAACTTCTCACCACTACTAGGAACAGTAGAGGACTCAGAAATGACCATATGATTCACATGATGCATATATTTGTCAAATGAAAGCCAAGGCACCACAAGTGGCATTGGAACAAACATTGGAGAATTCAATTGTCAAACAAACAGACTAATAAGAGGAATTTGTTGTTCAGCATGTAAAACCTAATTTTGAAGCTTAGAGAGTAGCATCTTGAAACCTGAGACTCCATATATTGGTGAAGGATGTCAGATATAATAAGTGACAAAAAAAAAACATATGATTGATATGAGAATATTGAGATGAATGTTGGAAAATATGAGCTTTATAGAATATAATATTAGAAAACGAGAGATAAGATGACTATAATTAGTGGTATAACTAAAAGTAAATAAAAGATAAATAATTATATATAAATAATGAGAGTATTTGCTGGGATGGGATTTCGTATCTTATTCCAGCCACGGTCCAGCTCTCTTGCCCCGCGCATTGCCTCCGCCAAATGGGGCCGCTAAAACAGAAGCCCATGAGAAACCGACGACCGCGTTTGCTGTCGGAGGCCAGACATGGAACCGCACGGAGGAAGGGAATGGTTCTGCACGTCCGCTCGAAACCTTGCTTGGTATATGACCGATCCATCTCGAGTTCCTTTTGCTTTATGCATCAGAGAATACGCACTTGCTGTTCTTCCAATTTCCGAGTAATTCTAGTGTCATGCAAGTTAAAAACTCACATAGAAATATAAGAGAAACTTAATATAATCAGATCCAAATCCACAACATAAATCATGTGCCAATTAGCCTATAAGAAATTTATATAAAAATGAGTCTGTTTCTCGAGAAAATATTTTTGTGCTTACATAGGACAATAATCAATATGATTCATAATCTTGCTAGCTAATGCAAAGAGACTCAATATAATTTCTTCACATTGATGGCCCCCAAGGCTATGGTTTTTGTGGAAAGATGGGTGTGATGAGTAGACTCTTACATATATCGACTCATGATTCCTGAGTTGAATCATCCATTGGCTCCACTTGATTTCCGTACAACCTCAGTGCAAGTGCATATACATGTTTTCTTTTCGCTGATGTTCCTTCAGCAACCAATTTCACTGCCTAAAAGCACATCAAAATTAGTGAGAAGTGATTGAGAAATACATATTATGAGTTCATAAGTGCGGAAGAAAACAAACTAATTTCTCAGAAATATCAAATCATGGACAAAAGAATGATGCATACTAATGTAAGAGCAAGAAGAACAGAAAGTCCTTTACATAACATATAAATGATTGAAAACATAAAACGAGGCATCTTAATCAGTAAGGATATGCACAAAGAAATAATCCAAAGAAGATCAGCATTCATGTTACGAATCTTTAAAGGCACCACATTAGAAATGAATTTACCACCTCATACCTTCTGAAACACTCAAATTTCCATCTTTACATATGCCTTGCACATCCCAAGCAACAGCAGCTCTTCCTTTCAACTGTCACTCTAGTCCTCTCATTGGAGCAGACTCATTTTAGAACCAAATATCTACATAGTGAGGCTATCCAAGTCCCATCAACATACGTACAAACCAACATGTATATGCATAAGATAGATGTGGGAGAAGGTTAACATTCGCATCACTTGACAGAAGGGAATTTGTCACTTGGGGATCAATTTGGATAAGCAAATAGCAGAGACAATCTTCTGTGTGCCAACACAGTATCAAATTATCACCACATTTTTAGGACCTTTGTCCAACTGCAAATCATCCATAAAATGTTGGTCACCGAAAGGCTGATTATCTTTTTCCAATGACAACTTTGTCCCAATTCTTAAGGAACATATTACAGCAAGCAAATCATTACTGACACACCAGAACTATACAGCAGCAGCTAGTATCCCCAAAATTGCAGCATTAACATATCGTTTATGTCTAGCACATATCTGAAATGATCTTGTCTGTTGTCCAATCATCAAGTAGCATGACACGAGAAATAATAATTGAGAGGATCAAAGTAGTAGATAAGCAAAATAAGAAATGAATATAAAACTGAAAAGCTCGACCACTTTTTGTTATATTTTTCAGAGGCAAGGATGTGCAGTTGCTCTCTTTGTGTACAATATTTTGCATTAAGAACCTGGCAGAAAATTGCCAGTGATTGACCTTCATTAAACAAAGTCCACTTCATTGTCATATTTTTTTCAAAAAATGTTTGTCCCATCAACTTTTCTTAATATTAGACATAATGTTTTACTCCTGAACATGAATAGAAAATGTCTGCATGATACATGGCCAAGGGCTTAATATCATTATTTTTATTTACCATCAAGGAGTTTGTCTCCTAGGTACAGCAATACTGGCTCTACCATCCTGCCAGCAAAAGGCCACTTGAACAGTCAAGTATTGATCTTACAATAGAAACTTTGCACTCCCCAGACTCTGATATTAGCCTTAGAAGGACCGATAAATGTAGAGGTCTAGGATTATGTATGTTACTCTTCAACAAATATTGAGAAAATATATGAATAATTCATCTGCTTTACAATTAACATTGCAAAAAAATGTCATTTGTATACAAACAAAATATTGATAGAAGATATGGTAAAAACACTGTAAAATGCAAATACTCACATGGAGAACTCAGAACTAAAGCAACTTAAGTACAATACCTACCATGGAAAGACTATGGCCTTTGGAAATCAATTCTTTCAGTTCAAGCTCAAGCTGGTCATTAGATGGAACATTGTTGACTGAGTTTGCCTTTCCCTCTATCAGAAGTGTTATTTCTCCCTTTGGCTCTTGAGTTGAGTATCTCTTATTAGCTTCCCCCAAAGTGCCTCGCCAAAACTGAGAATCCGTGCATCACATATTAAAACTCCAGACCAGAAATAGAACCATGGCATGATGAGACTAATTATATATAAACAAGTGGGTGTCAAGCTACCATAAACTAAAACTCATGATACCTTATATCCATGTCCATTTCAAGTTGCTCTGTAACTTAGTTTGTCTAATTTTTCTAAACTAACTTGGTTTTTCAGAGATTTATGATCATATACAGAATACTCAAATTAATTTTATCTCATATTCAGCATATTCAACTGTTCTGAAATTGTATCTTATACTAAATAAACTGCTAGAGATGTATTTTCTGCACAAATAAGGTCCGAAATTTCCAACTTCATGCAGTTGCCCCCTTGCTTTCTCTCCATACATATTTGTTTTTTTCTTCTTTCCATTTATGTCCTTTACTTCTTCATGGTAATGTTGTGATTATGCTTTCAGTTGCTTACAACATTCAATATGTTAATCAGTGTGGACACAATTTCTCTGTAATTGACTTCCTTCTCTACATCATTTTGCTGAGACTGACCAGCAATTAAGAAAACAACAACAGATAAATGTTCGTGTGCAATATATCTCACTCACTCATACCACCTTTTGTCGGATCTAGTCCCCCTATAAAAGCACAAGTGCATATTTTAACGAATTCAAAGTACAAAAGTGGGTTGCCCCTTCAACAAAACTGGGACAAAGTTGAATTGAAGTTGAGCAAAAGAAAAGGTCCCAATACAAGATGAATTCATCAGTGTGTGTGTGTGTGTGTGTGTGCACTCCCACAATCTTTTTACAAAATTGAAGCTATAATCTCAAATAAGAACAAATCTATTTGATAGCTAGTTTATCCATGCTTGTATGAATAAATGTTAAAAACCTTTCATGAAATAGGTATTCACAATTATAAGGTCATAAGATGGCAAGATTAATAATACCAAGAAAATTTTCCACATTGATAACCAGTGATCGTTGGAGTACCTCTTCATGAACTTTTGTCATTTCTCGTGCAATAACACATGACCTGATTATAATCCAGAATAAGTCCATCTGAGTAGTTTGTTCACAATGTTTCACATAGCCAAGGAATATCACTAAGCAAAATGTTAATCAAAAAAGCATCTGGAACAGTAAATCAACTAGTCACATTGGACGTAAGCAGTACTTTTGTCCTTCACTTAAAAGCTATCATGAACAACAGAAAATTGATTGCTTGGTCACAAAGGAGTTCCCACATAAAATATCATATATGAAGGATATGTGTATCTTACATACGTAGATGTTAATTATTTGGTTACAACATTCTTGAAAATCCAAAGGGTTGTTCAAAGGAGGTCAATAGATGCACCAATTAGAAAAAGTGAGAAGAGATAAAGGCTTAAGCAAAATTTGTTAGAATCAACCAAAAGCTATTTAATGGTTCCTAATTTGACTAGCAAAATTCCTCAATAGAGCTCAATGGCAAGAAATGATCCATGCAGGTAAATCCAAATATCTATAACTTGTCTACTGAAAAGCAAAAATCAATCAGATCATAGAAAGATGAAATTGTAGTACATAACAATTATATGTCATAAAAAAGGCCCAAAGTTACCCTTGCTGCTTTGAAGATAGCAATGAGTGTCATTATGCCAGTGCTTCTCTGACCATCATGACCATGCATATGAAGTGTGAAGTAATACAAAGATATAGAAGAACCTATATTTGAATGATGAGATCTGGGATTGATATTGTAGCTGATGGAATCTTACTCCACTGTGTTAGCATCCCTATTTCCCTAAGAGGTTAAAAGTTACTCTATATCTCCTCCTTCCCCTATATCTTTCCTCTCTGTTTCACAAAAGGATGGACACTGAACATTACAAGTTACAACATTGATGTAAGATGGCAAATCTGATGGTTGTAATGAATAGCAACCACAATAGAAGCTACTTCTTTGTTTCACAATTATAGTCATATGCTTCTTCTTTTGTTGCTCCATCTCAACTTTGTCCTTTGCATATGGATGGTTTGGTGAATCAAGACTATTAAAGAGGTGCTGGGTGCTGGATTTATCATTCGTTATAGTTATGGTTTTCGTATGTTTGTTGGTTGCAACTTCACACAGAACATATACAAAGGAAGTCTTGGAATAAGCTATAGATGGAATTCAAAGGATACATGTGGAGTCTGACGCTGAAGCTTTGATTCATATACTAAACAATGAGAAAGCTTCTCCTTGGACAATATAAATGTAATTAGAGACATGCTGCAGTCTGGATATGTCTGTGGAATACTATTTACCAAATGCACATAGAGAAGGAAACCATTTGGCTAATTAGATAACTAACTCTGTTGGGCTTAATAGGAAAGACAATAACTGGAAAGGAGACTTGCCCACTGAACCAAATGTTTTGATGTGCTCTGATAAAAGGGATTTTTAAACTTGTTTGATGAAGTAATACATTCTGTTTTCGTTTGGAAAAACCAAAAAAAAAATTCCTACTACTCTCTTTGCTTAATCTTATATGGCTATCAAGTTGGCCAAAACCGACTAACTCTAGTTGCGTATAGATAGAACTTCTTGTTTTTCCTACAACTACTCTCTTTTATTTTCCTCTCTCTCTCTCGTATAGATAGAACTTCTTGTTTTTCCTACTACTACTCACTTTTATTTTCCTCTCTCTCTCTCTCTCTCTCTCTCTCTCTCTCTCTGTGGTTCGAGTGGTACCAACTGGTAGTGACCCATATCTATCTGTGCACAACCTCATACTAATACCATACCAGTCCAACTGTCAATCGGTATCGGACTAAGATTTTAATCCATGAATGACAACCCACAATATATACAGTAAAAATATTGTAGCTTTCCTATCAACAGACCTTGAAAATGCACATTTGACACTATGCAAAAAGGCACATATACATACAACACACTGATCAAGCAAATAACAACAGATAAACAGATTGTAAAATAATCATTTCAAGTAAAATTCTCTTATGTGTTATCTACCTTGATTCCCCAAAGATTAAAGAGGCTTCACTAAGAAACTGATGGAGCTTATGTGGAGGAACAAAGAATATTTGTGTTGCGGTTTCAACGGCAGAAACTTGAAGTCTTTCTCTTCTTGAACCAGCATGCTTGGGTAGAAATCCAACTGTGCATCAAAAGAATTATTAGAACCAAGTGTTACGATGAAACTCTTAAAAAAAATAAATGAGTTTTAAACAGTAAAGACACATGGGTAGTTACCAAACTTGAATTCATCAGTGGACAAGCCAGAAGCTGAAAGAGCACAAACCAAAGCAGATGGCCCAGGAATAGGAATAACAGGGATATTCTCATTGACGCATACCTTTGCCTGCATTAAGATGCTTCAGTCAATACTTACCATTCATATAACTTCCAATATCTGACTAGATTGGTTATAACAAGTATTCCATCAAACCGATCAATTAACACATTTAGCCACTGTTTACATACAACAATATCAATTGTGATTATAACCAGGATATTCTCATTGTCACATCTTTGCCTGCATTAAGATGCTTCAATCAGTGCTTACCATTCATATAACTTCCAATTTCTAACTAGATTGGTTACAACAAATATTCCATCAGGCCAGTTGGTTAACAGATTTGGTCACTGTTTATATATGACAAAATCAGTATTGGTTACACATGATTAGATCAATGCATGACAATAATATGCATGACATATCAAGTCTGTGATAAAAATTGTGGCTATGTTGGAAGGTGAGAAATTCTTATCCACTGAAAGCAATCATATTGATCAAATGATTGGCATGATCATGTTGACATTCTTTGTCACGCTTTGCTGATCTTTACCATGCAAAATGCACGAGGGGAGAAATTTGGTGCTTGCAAGGGACCGTGGGGAGGAAGAGGTGCTTTCTAGCTCAAGGGATGCAGAAATCCATATCAACACCAGAATCTCAGAAAACAGAAAACTAACAATGCCATGGTATTGTAAATTTGATACAGAGGGTCAATTTATGCAGCCCTCCCTTTATACAGAGAGATAATATAGCATCACAACATATTTGAACATTGTACTTCCCAAATTTACAAGTATGCATATGCATGTGATTAATTACCATCAATTATACATGTGATCTCTAACGACCGGCTGAATTGTTGAATAATGGTAAAGATTTTTTTTCAAAATGTCTGAACAAACTCTGTCAAGATTCAAGAGACTTGTGTATCACCACAAATGCCTATTTTTCCGATCAAGAAAATCTTTAAAAGGACAGCTCACCAGTTCCATACCCGGATCACTGATACATGGAGTACCAGCATCACTAATTAGTGCAATAATTTCACCTTGTCGAAGCCTTTGTAATACTGAACTTTCACGCTCGGACTCATTGAATTTGTGATAGCTAATCTGCAAATTTAAGTTTGACAATGAGAAAAAAAAAATCGACAATATGTAATCGGCAGATCAAATAGATCAGAATGATCATAACTACAAAAATCACTAGATGCTATGCAACAATAACTCACTAGTGGTGTCTTAATACCGTAGTACTGAAGCAACTTCCTAGAATGTCTTGTATCCTCAGAGAGTATAATATCTGCAAACTTAAGGATACGTATTGCCCTGCAATTCAGTGGAATCTAGAATAAGAGATTGGATGATAAAAACTAAAACAGGATTTTCATTTTTGAAAAAAAAAACAAAACAGGAACATATCTTCATAGATTAAAGCCGCACGTATATGTCATATGGACCCATCTACAATTTATCTTACTAACATGGTATGAGTAGCTCGTCTGCATCAGCCTAACAAAAAATTCTAACATGTACAAACATTACTTCTTTCCATCTTCCATTCATTCCTCATCAGCAAATCTGATGATTTTTGTTAAAGATGTCTCAAACAAAGTGGTCATACCTTCAACACCATCAGAAACAATCAAACATTACATTCTGCTCCTCGTAACACCACCCTAAATCTCATTTCCTCATCATAGCAACCCAAGCTGGTAAGTTATTTCCTAAACAAATTATAAACAACATGACATGTTAATTTTATAGTTGCCCTTTAAGTTTTAAAGTCAAGCCACATAGATGCATCCCTCTATTTTAATGATGTCGCATTATTATATGAATTGTGTCACATAATCCCCATCTTGCCAGTAAGGAAGATCAAAGGTAATGAAAACTTTTGACATCTGGTACTTTATTCCATGATTCAAAATTTCCAAATTCAAAGTCGTCCTACTGTCACGGACAAACTTCTAAACAAGGTGTTTGATGTAATGCTTATGTATGTCCGTGTCTTTTGGCATGTTCATGCCTTGTACAGAATGTAAATGGGCGGCCGAAGGCTTAATAGTCCCATTTTAGTTGGGTTGGTGGCCTCTTTAGGCTTGTAAATAAAGGTTGTGTCATGTGGACACGTGCGAGAGATTTTTGGTCTGTAATGGACCATTTTACCCTTTGTTGTGCCACTGTTCAGAGCTTGTAAAGTCTGTTTGTAATTTGCATTGTCTATGAAGTGTTTTTCAGAGATGTTTGCTTGTGGATCCCGATTGAGGCGTTCTCTCTAGCCCGTTCTCTTTTTTGTTGGTCCTAAGGGACAATGGGAGGCTTCGGGGAGACTGACTTTTGCGGACGGACACGCAAGGGTGCCGCACAACTTAGGCAAAACCAGCTAAGTCCGTGACACTACAGTCCAAACTTCTAAAGTTTGCATTCCATATATTCTTTTTGTATATACTGTCATAATTCAAAAAATTGACCTTCTCAATAGGGATTAGGAACTATAACTAAGCTTCAAAATAATTATTTTCTATGTGACCATAAAAAATGCTCATATATGGAACTAGCTGATTAAAGAATGTAAGTTACTAAAAATTCTGTAAACAAGGTCTCTCTAGATGCATTAAACAAGAGTAATCTATAAACAAAACCAAAATACTTACCGCAAGGTGATATCTTCCAGATTGCCAATTGGTGTTGCAACCAGATACAAACCAGAACTTACAGAGCTCTGAAATATTCAAGATCACACAAATTTGAGATGAGAATGAAAGGACAAGCACATTATGAAGTTATTATATTAAGAAGATACATCAACAGGACGATCAAGACTTCTAATACTGTCGAGAACATATCTTATAGAAAAGCAAGTCCTGATAACCTACACTTGGTCCAGACTCCAAGCAAGTCTTTTCAAATAACGTACTGGCATTTGCTCAATACTTCTGGTTCTCTCCGTGAGAAACAATTATGATGATCACAAATAGCCAATCTACTCGAGGTCCCATGGCTTCTTGTACGCTTACACAAGATTTTGTTAGAAATTATGATATCAACCATTGAACACCTTAAAACGGTTAAATAACCAGCCCAAAATCGGTAGGTGACTTTCTTGTCTGACTCGGTTGCCTTTGCCAAGATCACCCCGAGCCAATACCAAGCTTAACGTATAGAACTCAATACCCTAATTTAGATGGGCAACGACACCGGGAAATATAATCAACAACGACTCAAATTCATACTTCCATCAACCATTCTATAATGCTACCGTTGCTTAAAACTAGCTAGACCCGTATGACAACCAAAACACCACCATTCAATAGCGATCGCGCGACAGAATTTAAGACAAAGAAACTCGCAAAGCTAATAGAAACATCAAACAGTTATGAGTAAATCAAAGAAATAAAGATACAGGTAGGGAGGGGAAGAGTGACCGATTTGGAGGAATCTCCATTGCCATGCTGCTGCTGCTGCTGCAGGTGGGCGTTGGTGTCTGAGGCGGAAGAAGAGACACGAACGAAGCGGGGGGCGAAACGACGGTTTCGGAGGGAACAGAGAGGGCAAGGGGCGAAGGAGCGCGCGACGACGAATCCGGCGGTGACGGCGAATGGCCGTGAAATGAGTCGGAGCATGGGCGGAGCAGCGGGAAGAGGGAGGGAGGGAAGGAGGTAAGGATAGGGCTGGAGCAGGTTCTTCCTTCGTAGTGCTGCCTTGGTTATGCTCGTGATGGGGTTGGCGGCGGTGACGGGGTTTAGATTAAGAGATTGGATTCGTGGTTGGGCTATTGCCGACCGCAGCAAATGGGTTTTGGTCCATTAAGGAGCGTTTATATTATACTATTAAATGAAGTCTTGAAGCTATCTTTAAAAATACTTATAAATCATTAAAAAATAAACTTACGTATTTCAAAAAGACAAACGTTTTTTTTTTATTTTCTAAAAGATAAAATTATTTTCTTTCTTACTTGTGCACCCTTTCCCTTATTGTCGTCAAGTACGAGAGAGTTGAAAAGTGAGAAAAGATGCAAAGGGGAAGGAGAAGGTGAGAGGTATTAGGGCAAAAGGGAGTTTGAGAGAGAGTATGTAAGTGAAAAGGGTATATACATTAGTAGAGTTCGATCGTTGATAATTGTACGAATGATGGCGTTCCAATCATAGGTGGTGGGTAGAGTGAAAGGCGACCGGCATAGGTAAGTTTGTTGGACAAGGAGAGGGCATAAAGCTTAAGGAATACACCATGTAACGGATGGGAGCAACAAAAAAGGTCGATGGTGAGAAGATGAAACGTTTTGACGTAACTAAAAGTGATGCCTAGACTCAGGCAACAAGGGCTACGGATGGGCAATGAGATAATCCGACGTGAGAATGTGAGAGAGCAGACAACAATGAGAGGTGGGACGAATGCTAAAGACAATTTGATCTCTTAGAAAATAATGAACACTCTTCGAGGATAAATTAGGCAAAAATAAAAATAAAAGGCTTATTTTTTACAGAATTTATACTTTCAAAAATAATTTTATTATTTTAATCTCATTAAAACTATTTATAATTTCGACAACTAAATTTGCTTGTCGTCATATAGTATTTGTTATTCTATTTGTTTATTCTCTTTTGTCTTTTCATAATAGAAAATTTTGACCATGTTAAAAAGATACATTTGCCTTAACAGATTTTGATATGACATGCATGCATAAATAAATATATATATGAAATTTGATATGACATTCATCCGTATGTTTACCACGTATTAAAAGACATAAAAGATCTAAAACATGTTAAAAGATATTGCTGTTATATGGAATTTGAATCAACACTAAGGGAGATTAAATAAAATGACATATACACAAGTTTTTAGATTTTACAATAATATATATACATTGAACTTAAATTTACTTTATGCTGTATCCAAAGATTAAAATACTATTGTACAAGTTTGTATCCACTGATCCTTATACGAATACAGATCGATACCACCTTTCGCTATACCATTCCATAGGTTTGCATTACGTCTCACCCAACTTATTATATTTGATGAAAAATTAAGAACCAACACACAACATACATTGATGAACTGCAAAGAAGATGAATGGAATTGAAGTCAACGTCACCATCAACTCCTCACTAGCGTCGGGAAGCACACCTCCTTTGGCCTCTCTCTGGATTTGCATCTCAGATTTGACTTTCTTACCTTCCATCATCAGTCACCGGCAAAACAGCAACAACATGAAGAATCAGCTATCAGTTCATAGTCATGGAGGTCTGCCAATTCAGAGAAGATCAAGATTCAATAGATTGCATGTGGAGTTAAATATCTGCATATCTTCGGAATGTTGACTTTTGCTATCAGACAAACAAAGTGACTACTCTTAGTATGAAATGGAACATGAGACAGATCAAAGTCAGAGGCTTGGCAAAGCTTTCTTGTCTGTCCAATTTTGACTTTCTTGCTGTGTGATTGATTGCTGGGTTATTAAGCATGTTATCGAGACACCTACACACACACAACATCCCTCTAGCAAGAGGCCATCATCAAGAATGTCTTCCACCAAGCTTCCTCTTGCAATTCTTCTCTTGTTGTCAGGTATTTCATACACAGCTGAGAACTTCTTCTAATGCTCTTTGACTTCTAGTGGCCATGTTGGATGAAGACACTGCTCACAGGTTTCCCTTTGTTTTGTTGTCTTGATGCAAAGGTACTGTGATGTTTGGATGGATCCAGTATAGCGCTGAAGCCAAGGTTTGTCCCCTCTTCTGTGTGCAAGCAGAGTACATGACCTGCAACTCCACTGCTGGTGAGAGGCTGAACCCTGTGTGCAACTGCTGCTTTGCTCCAGAAGGGGGCTGCACCATTTATCTAGGCAATGGAGGTAAACTGCAGTGTGCTTAAGCTTTCATGTTATCATCCTTGCCAAGATGCCCAAACTCTCTTCTTCTACTTCTGTGTCCTGTTGTGTGCCTGGGCTTGATTAATCAGATAGCATGCATCATAGACTAATTGCTGTAGCTTTTCCCTCAACCTGCTATTCCATGGAAGGGATAAACCAACATATCAGTAGAGAGAAGGAAAAAAAAAGAAAAAGGTAAAACATATATATATGTGCAAAAGGCTGCTAAAAAGGATGGAAGAGATGTGGCTTTTTTTTTCCATCAAAATAATGAAATTCTTGTTATCCCAATTCTTTAAAACCCAATTCACAGTTACCATTTATTGTTTTAAGGTTGATATTATCACAGAAGTTCATCAACTGAAGAATAAGAGGCTGCAGCAATAAAAATAATAATTAATTTAATATCTGCTTCTCAAAAATCTACTTTACAAGAAAATAAATTAGTTAATTTTTAACAATTTTTTAAGCACTAAGGATAGATATTTTTACTACACATCTCAAGCCTCTCCTCCAAACAAGGCTATTTCATATGACAATAGCCTTTTTTGCATATGGTAAATCAAATATTCTAATATTTCGATTTAGTCATTGAAAGTGAATTAAGATTAATTAATTCAAAAAATATGATGAGTATATTATTGTTAATTTTAAGTTAAAATTTTAATTAGTGATTTAGACTCAACAAAATTAACAGATAAAGACCAAGATGTCCCACTATTGATATGAGATACTTGATTTATGTACATATCTTTAAAACTGTGATGCCTTATAAGTATATTTGATCTTGTGCTGATAACTTATACTTTTGGATTATTAATCATATAACTAAAATCTTAATATGATTATAAATTATTAGACGAACTACTTATTCTAAATCTATCAAGGGAGAAGAATAAAATAATATATTTTGTATTCATCATATCTTCATGTACTACTACTACTACTACTAACTAGTAGGAGGCAAAATTTTACCTAGTATCTAATTTTTGATGAGGATAAATGATAATATTTGTATATCCAAAATTTTACTATGTTGTGCAAACAATTAAGTATATGACATATGAACACCATGGGAATCGGATCCCCTATGACACAAAAATAGTAATGCTAGGCAAGAGGAGGACCATCCAATCCCCTCTAACTAAGTAGTGCCACATAATAACCAATGTTGACTCGAGGGAGGGAGGAGTCTTGCAATGAAATCCTTCCAAAAATTTGAATTTACAAATCAAGTATATTTCATTAATAAAATAATATTCTAAATATTAATCTGATATCAACTTCCATAAATAGTCTAATTTGGTCCGATATCGTTCTTTGATCGAATCGATATGAATCGGCCCGATTCGTTTCGATTCGGGTTGAATCAAACAAAGAGGGTCAATTTCGTCATGCGAATAATTGCAACCAACGAAACTGCATTCTGCGGCCGTTAACCGCCAAGAAATCGCTTGACCACGTGGCGGAAATTGTTTGGTCCATCGAGCTCTATATAAGCGCGTTCGTGGCGTGGTTGTCGCCATTGTTTCCTTTAGAGCTGAGAGGGGAAGAAAGGGGGAGAGAGATGGCGACGGCGACGGCGACGGCAACGGCAACGGCAACGGCGGTCGTAAACGAGCCGGAAGCGGCGGTCGTAAATGAGCCGGAAGCGGCGGAGGTGGTGGCGGTGGGGCGGAGCAAGCGGAACCGCATCCAGGTTTCCACCAACAAGAAGCCGCTCTTCTTCTACGTCAATCTCGCCAAGGTATCGCCTCAGTGTGGAATTAGGGCTTTGATCTCATCTCAGATTTTTTTCGGATGTAGTCTGAACTCGCGGGTTTTGCTTCTTCTATTAGCATTTGTGCCCTTCTTGATGCAGCATAGCGTTGGATCTTTGTCTTTGCTGTTCTCTTTGTGGGTTTCTTGAAGTAAAAAAATGGAGATCCTTCTATGTGCTCCTACTATGATGTCTCTGTGTGATTCTTTAGGGGAATCAGTATTCTGATGTGTTATTTTGATGTTATCTTATCGATGGAATCGGTCTACGGTGGATGAGATTCAATCTCGTCTTGTTTTGCTGGAACAGAATCTTGGATCCTTTGGCCTGCATTCTGCAATTTATTTTTCTTGTCATTTCCTTTATGATTCAAATATAGAAATCTGTTGCATCCTTGTAGAATTTTGTGTGTCTCTGATGTGGAATATCTTGTGATCCTCTTCTGTTGTTTCCGACTGCAGAGGTATATGCAGCAGCACAATGAGATTGAGCTCTCTGCACTAGGCATGGGTAATGGTTTTTAACTCAATCCGGTCCCTTCACAGACAGATATGTTCTCTTCTTTCTGTTCTTTCTTTTCTTCGGATCATTTCATTTTGGAAGTTCCAACAAAATGAAAGGAAATGAGTCAGAAAGTGATAAGAACACTATGCTTATCTCTTGTCACTGAAATCGCTAATTATTATCACTGTTCTGCACATCTTGCTCTAACCCTTCATCACATGTTCTTAAAATAAGGAGATATATTTCAGCAAATTTGTGTTTCCTTTTAAATCTTGGCAAAATCTTCTACAATAGCAATTGGCACGGTCGTCACTGTCGCTGAGATTTTGAAGAACAATGGACTTGCCACCGAGAAGAGTGAGCACACAACATGGAACCAAATCTTTAATCCCTCGTGTGAAATTAAAACTCACTCACAAAACCACTTTTTGATGAGTGCAGAGATCCAAACCTCCACGGTCGGCACCAAAGATGAAGCTAAGGGCCGCCTAGTTCGGAAGGCCAAGGTGCCCTACTATGCGACACAAATATATCAAAAGTGATCCTCGTTGTTGTGTTTGTAATATGTTCTTGTCCTTTTATGCAGATTGAGATACTGCTTGGAAAGACGGAGAATTTTAATCACCTTGTCTCTACCAACAAAGTAGTTCGACAGGCAACTGAAGCAGAAGAGTGATGGAGGAGGGAATTAGCAGCTGGCCGGTGCTGGTGGTTGTTACTGTAAATAGCACGAGGCTTCCTGTCTGTGCTGCTGACATGGATGAGGAGAATGTCATACCATAGAATAAGTGTTCTGTTTTCTCTTTCCTTCCCCTCTGAGCGCTTCAGATTTGTGTAACTCCAATGTCAGCATGAATCTTGGTACTCCCTTGTACCCGTTCACACTACCTTGGAAACGAATGATTTTGATTGATTAAAAGGAGAAAGGAAAAGGCTCTCCCCAAACTTTTGTGTGCGCGCGGAAACTTGCTTGCATAAACTTGCGGGTGGCATTCAACTTGATATGATCGCTAATTAATTATCATATCCAACTAGAATTAATAGTCAAATAATTATTTTTATGACAGCTCCATAAAGAATGATCTTGTTCTGGATATTCCAACACCGTCTCAAGATTTTTCGAGTGCAAACAAATGAGTACATGTGAATCACACCGATCAATCCAGGTGACAACCTAACAAATATTTAAGCATAGTTAGTTAATGTGGTGTGATTAAAATTCGACTTGCAAAGGCCCAGTCGCGCCTTCAAAAAGCTGGAAATGCCTGTAGGCTAAGCCAGAGGGGCATCTTGCAGCCAGCATTAAAGAGGGAGGAGCGCTCGGTGGACCACATTTGCCACTCATGTTGTCAAACTTGCCTGTTTCCTGCGTACGTTACCCGTTAGACTGGGACCACCGAAGGGCGGGGGGGGGGGGGGGGGGAGGGTTCCACTGCAGAGCACGCTACTGGGAACGACCCTAAAATTGGATCCCAAGATGATATCAATTCCTCCTACAAATGACCCTCTATCGATTTATTTTATCTCATATTAAAAATGACGAGATCAGAATAATTATTCGGACACCGAACCGCAATCCGACTTGGATCCGCGTCTAAGGTCTACAAACGGTATCAGAACGTGGTTTAAGTGGCTTAATTAAATCCAATCTGAACGCTTACCGACATCGAGTAGCAGACAAGCCAGGTACATCCTCAGAACAGTAAGTAGACTGTCAAACCACAGGACACCGACCTTTCCTGCTTTCCCCAATCAAAAGACAGGTACGTCGTTCAAGGGTGGCCAAGTGGGTAGTAAATCGGTTCTCTTCTTAATTCCCCTTTCTGCCCGTCTCTGAGCCCGCGTGGAGCCCTGCCCGCCCGCGCTCCCGCACGGAGAACGCGCCTCCCTCACTTTTAATTATTCCATTTTGGTTCCATCCCTCGCCTTTGTTTACGTATCGGTGGCCCACATCGTACTAGTACGCGCACGTGCTCCGTATCACTGCGTACTTCAATTTTCCCCTTCTTTATCCAAACTCCGGGAGCTCCATGGTCCCCACCACGCCAGCCGTGTGATAGACGGCGGTCGTCGTCCCGTTCCTTTCCCTCCGTTGATACCCGTCTAAACATGATAGTACCTCTCATGCCTCTCGCGCCGTAACCCCTCACCCACCTGCCTCGTAATTGGGGCACAGATGGAGCCCGCCTGCTGCTCCAATAATAACGCAGGTATAAAACGACGATTGAGATAATATAATATAGCAATGGGGCCCACCTTAACGTCGTCCATTGAATGCGCGTAGACACCCCACGCGAACGCCTCCGCACGCTTATTAATGGCGTCCGTGTTTAATTTAAAGCAAAATAATAAATGGCGAATAAATCGGGAATTAAGCCGAATACCTGTCGGGCGGAAGGAAGACCGTCTACTTCGCTATAAATAGCCGCTCGAGCTTCATCCCTGTTCCCCCTCACGATCCTCTTGTAGCGATGGCGCTGGAGACGCTGCGGCTGAGGAAGGGCGGGTTCGCCGCCGCCGCCGCCGAGAACAAGGGATCGACGGCGGTGCTTGGTGGCGAGGTGACGGAGACGCACTTCCGAGGGGTGAGGAAGCGGCCGTGGGGGCGGTTCGCGGCGGAGATCCGGGACCCGTGGAAGAAGACGCGCAAGTGGCTAGGGACCTTCGACACGGCGGAGGAGGCGGCGCGAGCCTACGACGAGGCCGCCCGCAGCCTCCGTGGGCCCAAGGCGAAAACCAACTTCGGTTGCCCCGGCGACCACGGGATCCAGTCCTCCGGGCCGCAGATCAGTTGGGGGGCGGTGCCACGGTGGCGATCGGCGCTGGATGGGCGCGATCTGACCATCGGCCCTCCGCCGGCTCTGGCGGGCGGCGGATCTGGGTGCTTGGGGTACCGTTTGGGAACGGTTGAGGTGGCAACGAGGGGAGACCAGGAGATGGAGAAGGCGCTGGGGGCGGCCATGGGGAGGAAGGTGGAAGACGAGGCGGAGGCGGCGAAGCAGAAGCAGCCCTTCTCCTTTGATCTAAATCTACCCGCTCCTCTCTTCTGAGATAGATCCGACGGCCCATCTCGCCCTTCTCCTCTTTTTAACCGTTTGGTTTTTTTTATTTTTATTTTTGTAACCCTTTTTCTCGGGTTTGTACAGTTCTTATCAATTTATTTACGAGAAAAGGAGAAAATGGGGCTACTTTTGCGGGCTCGTCATTCGAATCGCCGGGTTAACTCGTCCGACTCACTAGCATGCCTTTCTTCTCTTTTGATCGCTAATGGCCGACAGATTCTTTCTGTCTCAGTTAAGTGGCTCACCAAGTGTGTCGCGGGCTCCACGACACGACCGATGTAGGCGCCGAGGCGCTGAGACACCAACTGCCGACTTAAAAGTGCATAGTAGAGAACAGCCAGCGGCAATCCGAGAGACGCGCCGTGTAAGGCCGCGGCGAGCAGGTCCGGCTTTTCCTCGGGCAGCAAGCAGAGCGCGGCTGAGGCGTGCGGGCGCCTACCAGCTTTCCTTCCCTCCCGCTTTTTCTGCCTTCCCTCGGTCAAACCGTGCTACCTTTGACCCGATCGTAGCACTGAAATATCCCTTTCGGTAGCACGTGCTGCTGTTGATTATTGTTATTTTATGGTAATTTTTATCCACTGGAAAATAAAATTAAATAAGTGGCCGTCAACGTCAAGATGGACGGTGGTGATTTCAACGGTCATGGTTTTTTTAAATATTTCTTTAATATTTTTATTTTTAACACCTAAAAGCATAATGATCATATTTCCAATCTCATAATTCAACGATAATAATATTGTGATCTCACTTCATCAATTACTCCAACACCTTATAAATTTTGGGTCCAAACCCACTTCATGTATCAAATAATATGAATATGATTTATTGAATTTTAAATTGTTTCTCTCTTTAAAAATCTTGGAGAACAATAACCACCTTTTGGTTCCAAAAAAATTCAGAAGCAAAGACAAGAAAATTAGTAACTCTTTTCTTTAACTCTGATCTTTCTCCATCCAACTCTTAAAAAGAAGAGAGAAAACAGACCCTACGTTTGTTGTTTTCAGAAACAGAAACACCAAAAACAGAAGCAGCATTAGACACGGGCGTCGCTTCCAACACTGCAAGCATACGAATAAAGCACATCCATTCCACCCTTCGGTTTCGCTGCTGCTCGTCTGAATCTTCCGGCGACCTCGGCTTCCTTCTCCGATCTCCTCACCCAATTGGGATCTCCAAAGTCTCATCTGTCTCCTGCACCAATTATTCCGGAGTCTTCCGATCCGAAGAAAGCCATTCCAAATGAGAATTCGAGCCTCAGAGACTCCACCTTTGAGCTCCAGTTCCAATCCGAATCCCACCCCGCCCCTGTCTTCTCCATCGATTTCTCCTCTTTCGAATGATTCCTCGAGCCGTTGCCAAGGCCTCGACCTCTTGGTGTTGGCTGTCATTGAAGTCTTTGGGGACACAGCTTTGCAGATGGAGGACATTGATGGCGATGGAGTTGGACAGGAGGAACGGAAGCAAGACGGCATCGAGATGAGGAAGGAAGATCCGAATATCAGTGTTGAAGCTGACCTGAAACGGAAGGGGAGGAGGAGGTCATTGTCAACGCCTTCTAGGTTCCAGGATTCGGTGCTGCAGCCATGGAAGCGGAGCACCCGGCGGCGGCTAAGCGGGGGGAAGCAATAGGGTCTGGCGGCAAGGTTGGTATTGATCACTGCTTAGGCTTCTCGGATATCGATTTGATCTTTTCATGAGCAAATTTTTATAGGGATTGCAAAATATGGATTCCAGTAACCTAAATCATGGTATAAAATCCTACTGCTATAGTGCAATTTCAAGAAAAAGATTGGAGTTGTTTCGTAGATACATTTCAGATTTTGTCTGTGAAAATAGTTCATTTTTCTTCAGTCTTCTTTGTGCATCTTTTACACGAAATGGGGATATGTGCCTTAGGGTTCTTAAGTCAAATAGTTCAGTTTCTAGGAACAATGTGAACTTTTCTTCTCTTATTTTTCGATCCTTAGGATCGAAGGAAGATTTATCTGTAAAATGCATGCTTCATTATCATCATTTCTTCCCTTGGATATTGTGATGCAAATACTGTATATTGATCTCTTCTTATTTTTAATATACTTCATTCCTAATCTACTTTAGTCATAAGCTTGGCAGGTGAAAACTGTGAAATAGTTTTCCTAATTTGTCCAGAACTGGTAACTCCATCTGCAAGTGTCTAACCTAATTGTCACTGGAATCATTATTACACATTATTACACCATGTCTAGACTTGGCTCCTAGTAGCAGTAATCTCTTCTTGGATGCATCTTTCTTGTTCTAGACTTGTTAATGATCCTTCATTCTGTTGTTGATCAGGTTTAAAAGATTTTTTGGTCTTCCATGAGTTTCCCTTAAGCCCATCACTACTTTAGTTGTTGAAGTGTATTGGTAGGACCTCTTCTTCCATTGGTTTGGCTGTTGCAGATTGCAAGTTTGGTTGGTGAATTTAGTCTAATCTTCTTGCATGAGAAGTTCCATATATCCTTAATACATAATTAATAATACTTGATTTATTTGTTATTCTTTGATGTGTTAATTTCTTGTCACAGGTATATGTCAGAAGCCAATCTAGTCCACTTTTTTCTGATATATAAAGCTTGATATTTTAGACTATGGATATTCCAATTACTGGAATAATTTAATAAGGACATCGTCTCTTTATACCTTTATCAGTCCTCGATGAATCAATGTTTACAATTAAGTGTTTTTTTTTTTGACATGGTTCTTCCACCACAAGTGTAGAGGTAAAAAAAACTTGAGCTAGACTTTCTGGTATTCCTCGAAATAACAATGAAGCCTAATGCTTTGGTCACAAATGAATAGCTGTAGAATCCATGTCAATGATGTAAAATGTAAAGAATAAGCATACATACCTCATTAGTGTTGCTTTGTGAGTCCTTTTGTGCTATAATTTGTCATATACCATATTATAACTCATTGTGGATGAGAAAATGGAGGACTGCTACTTATCAACTTGTATCTTCCTAAAATTTATCTAGGACATGAAACATGAGTACTTGTCACAAAATCCTTTTATGTAGGTTATCAAAATGAAAATTATTTAGATTAGGAGGAAACACATCACTTGTTATAAGAAGAAAAATCTTCTAGCACTGAACAGCTAATTATGATTGTGTAGTTTCTCATGCTGCAGGGTACTGATCCTAAGCACCACCAATCGAACAAGGTAAGCACTATAAATGCTGGAGTAAACTGTTGCTGATCCATAAAAGGACACTGATGTCTTCGTATCACTGGAACAGTGTTTGTGGACATATAAATCAGATTCTGAAGAGTTCATGGAGTTGTTTATGCCTTTGCTTGCATTGACAGTGCAAAATCCATAAATTTCAGTTCCAGGAAATGCTGAAGGATGTAGAACCGTGGATGGATCATAAATCTTGCTCGAGGTAGGCCTATATGCCAGGTCAAACCCTGTTTTATCTGTCATTTCTTGAACGAAGGTTGGTCTTTGGCAGGACTAACACTTGTGTCTTCCCCATAGCGTCAGGTTCAAATGAAGTCCATCTTGGTTCAATTATTTTATTGAATTATTTTTAGCCCTAGAATTGCAAATAGTTAACACTGAGTGAAAATTTAGCTTCTACGTCATGCTATCTCATGCATATAAGATTAGTATTTCCTCAAGTTATTAGATCTTGGATCAGGGCAATTCTGAATTATCCCACCAAGTTTAGGTACATGCTCTTGTTGTTAGCGGTTGTTTCTCGACTATTAGTTGAAATTATAATTTTTATTAATATCTTTTTAATGACTATGATGATATTATATGTGTATATATACATAAATCAACTCAGACTTCACTACTAGCATTTTTTTAAAAAATTATAATATAAAAATCATAATTTTATTTTAAATTAAAAAATTAATGTATATCCATAATGACTTGAGTCTAAATGTGTAAAGATATAACAAAAAAACTTGATATAAAATTGAGTAAAATTATAAATAATTAATCACCATCATTTTTTATTCCAGACGTTTCAGTTCTGATAATCTCTTCGGTTTATAGGTCGAAAGAGATGCTATTTTCTTTACGGATGATCTATTATTTTCGTTTCATTGCCCTTGTCTAATGATCGAGACAAGCTTGAGCTTTCATTAATTCGGGAGCCATGCTCGATCTGATTTTATCTAGAATTGTCGTCTTCCCATGCTAAAGATAGTGGAGTTACTAGTATTTGCCTTACAAACTTGGCTAAGATTGGAAATGTTTGACTCCTTTCCTTGTCGACTTGCATTAGATGTTTTTTTTTTCAATATACTTTCAAAATGTTTCATATCATTCTTTTTTTTTTTTTGAACAAAACTTGGTACAATATTTACATATGACATATAAGGAGCCATTAGGGTTTCAGATCTTTTTGAGGTGATACTTGAATATGTCTGACTTAATTTTGATCATTGTATCAATAATGTCGGACTTAGCATGGACGTTGATGTACTAGCTTTCTTGAGTTTTCATGATTGAATTTTCAAAGGGCTCAAGAAAAGATCTAAAGGTGCTTAAGAAAGAGCTAAAGAGAGCTGATCTTATGGTCCAAACTTAAACCGCAAGCACAATTAACGATAAAGATGTGAGCGAGGAAAGTCTTAGTTAGGTGCATGGTTGGAGCGGATACCAATTGTTTTTATATTCTTTTCTCGGATTCTACGCAATGCTAGTGTGCATTGGGAACGTGAGGGATTAATTTAGAACCATCCGTTTTAATTCCTCCTGTCATCTAAACCGTCCATATGAACCGATAGTATATATTTTTTATCCTATTATATTGACGGTTTGGATGACAGGATGTTTTGGGACGAACGGTTTGTTGGAGGCGTATGTATATTTTTCCTATCCTCACCTCTGCATCTGTGGGGCAGACACTCTCGTCGTAACTTCCCCTCTGCATCTGAGGGGACGATCGGGTAACGGAATGGCTTCTCCGACAAAATGGAAGCCGGAGCGACGCTCCTTCCTCGGCGGCCTCCGCTCGCCCTCGAACCGTACGACCATCTTCTTCCTTTCTCGGATCGAAGTGGGTTTTGAGCTTGCATCTTTAGAGGATGTCGTGTCGTTCTGATCTGCAATTTTTTGGGTTTCGATGTGCTCTGTTCGCTCGCTAGAATGTCGGCTTGCTTTTGTTCCGTGCCTTCTTTTCTTTTCGATCTGAGAACTTGGAAATCCCATCATGTTGAAGATAAACCCTAGATCTGGACTGGTTCTTGGGTTATCTTTCCGATCTTCTATACGGAACATCTGAGCATCTAAACCCTCGCCCATTGATGCTGGTGGATCTCTTGGCAAGTGGTTAACGAAACAAATCCATCATATTTGACAAGGCATCGAACAAATCCATCACAGGAGTGACTGTTTTCCTCATTTTAACTTTGGGGCGTTTCAACGTGGTGTTATGATGTTTGATTGAGCTACTCTCAATTTTTTCCTATCAACTCTCAAATTCTATTAATGATGAAACTTACTCTCTGCACCTTTTCTGAGATGAATCAGTATTTCCATATGTTTGTTAACGCTACCTTCGGATAATCTTTGACTCTGCCTCTCTTTTTCATCATCTTTTGTGCGAGATCAAGCTTCAATTTATCTTTCATTGATTTCTGGAAGACCATAAACATGGTTTTCATGGAGGTAAAGATGCCATGGAATTCGATAATTTCACCTCAACTGCTCGATGCAAAAGGAACTATACTCCATAAAGCTATCATCCTACGTCATATGGATGACATTGCAATTAGAAAGGCATCCGAGGAGCAGTTACTAGCTTGAACTCGATAGGCGAAGGAAAGGTTCGAGACTTGCCAGGAGATGTTCTCTTCCCTACCAGGATCTGTGGCATGGATTATAGCATCAAGGATTGGTTGATCTCAATCCTTGCACCTTGGGGTATCATGTATGCTGCTTGATGGTTTTGTCGTGGATAGTTGACTAGCCCGTGACTGGATTCCAGTACTTGGCAACTAATGTGTTTCAGATCAGGGTTGATTGATGCCTTCGTTCCTTGATTGTTTTCTGTTATTATTTTGTGATCTACTGTTGGTTCAAAAGAGTAATACCGTATCTCACTGTTATTATTATGGACTCAAAACGGTTGTTGTATCCCAAGAAGTTTGTCGTGTTCATTTATAGTTTGAAATGGTGTGGCTGAACTTTTTTCGTTATATTATTTCTAAGATTCATAATTTCATCTACCGGTACTGATTAGGGTTATCGGTATGGACATTCAATGCATCGGGTTTTTGAAAAAAATAAAAATAAAAATAAAAATAAAAAAGAAATTGTTTGGGATTATATTTGTATTATTCTATAAAAGAAAGACACTAAGAAAACAAAAAAGAAAGCCTTACAAGCAGCATATCAGCAAAGCAAACAATACCTTCCGATTTACCATAGTTTGCGTACCGATCATATCGTCCAAACCTTGATTATTTCTACTTAATAATATGATTTTTAGGATATTTTTAATAATAAATAATTTTAGAAAAAGGAAGGAAATAAAATTTACTCTGAGAGACCGATTGATTGATTCACTCACACCATGAAAGTATTAATTATTGCATGGGGAAGATTCACACCAGGGATTTCATTTGGAAAAGGAAGGTATTCAATGGAACGGTAGACATGGTTTCTTCATCATCTATCGAAGCAATATAAAAGACCAGTATCCAAACATATCTCCGCAATGAAAAATACATCCAATCATAAACGCAAATAGATTCTATGGTAATTATTGCATGCATCTATTAGACAATAAAGTAATTCAAGCATTACCGCCTTTGAAATCGTTAGAGAGGTCCAGATCCGCATCAAGAATCCGGAACGTTCAGGTTCTGAAAGAGCTCCGGAAGATGGGCGTTGGTCAGCTTGGTCCTCCTGGTGATTTCACGTTTCTTCTTCGGTTTGGGCTTGGAGGTGACACCATGAACTTGCGCCATCGCCCGCCTCTTTGCGGTGTTGGTGGCGGGTTTCATGCCGTTCTTCTGAAGCTCCTTTTCGATGTCGACCATGTCCCTTGGCAACTCGATTCCACGGAAGAGCTGCTTTAAATCATCATCCACCTTGATCATCACCTTAGGGTCATTTGGGTAGACAATGTCCTCCTGAGAGTCCATGTTGGACAATAGCCAGACCTGGCCAGCCGCCTTCAAAGCCTGCAAGTGAACAAGCAATATGGCTTTATTCACAGGAAGAAAAATGTCATGAAATTGATTTGTCGCCATCCATATCTGATAAACAAAGCAACACTCCAATGAGCGTCACTATTTCCATGACATGTAAAATTCGTGTATCAGACAAAAGTTACTCCGAACCAAAAAGCACTTGCCACCCTTTGATCAAAGAACAAAACCATATACATCGTCTTGATCTCTATAGGTTTTAGATAAGAAAGTTCCGAAGAAAACCAGTATCTGAGACCGAATTACTCAATTTCAGAAAGTTAAAACCTAACAATAGTAAAACATAATAAAAAAATATAGTTCCGAAGAAAACCAGTATCTGAGACCGAATTACTCAATTTCAGAAAGTTAAAACCTAACAATAGTAAAACATAATAAAAAAATATCAGGCAACAAACTACAAGAACGTGTGCCATAACACTAAAAACAACTTATCAAGGTTAATGGTTGAGGCAAAACCAAAATATGTGCAGCTCAAATAACTAAAATTTAGTACCGTACCTGCAAGTCTTCCAAAACAGATGGATATGAATCTTTGACCTCCACAACTTGTAGCCCCTCTGGGTACTTTCTTACCAGTGAAAGCAGTTGATCCTTTCCCTTTATATCATACTTGGACTGCCCAAGAACCAAAACACATTACTTCACGAACCTCCATAAAAAAAGTGTAGTGCTCAGAAGCTTGTAAACATAAAAGCACAAGGAAGCAACTGGCTCAATCCTGGTGCATATCATTGTTTTCCAAGATTCTAGATAACAACCTATATTACGTTCACATATACAGGTGAGGTAACAAAATGGAAAATGCATGTCTGGTACAATGAAAAGTCAATACCTAAATCATTCAATTTCAAAGTATCATTATAAATCACAGATAAGTATCAGACACCGGAGCATCCTGACATGGACATATCTTCTTACCATATTCCCATAAAGAAAAGCATATTTCACCTAAAACACATGTTTAATCTAAACATCTATTGGGTTGACCGTAGGTCTGCTATATTAAACTCCAGCTTATTATGTTGTTCGTTAAGCCATATAGATATCCATAATCGAGTTAAAAATATTTAACATCACATAAATATCTGAATATGTAATGATGGCTACGTAGACCTCATAGCTTCACTGTAAAACCAAACTAAAAATGCAAAACATTGTTAAAATTAGGAATCTTGAAACAAATTGTTTGATCAGTAATTTATCTGAGATGGTACCCTCATCAACTTGAAGAATCTTTAAACAAACTGTAGACTATTGGACATAAGTCCAGAAGAATGCATGCAGAGTATCAAAAGTACATGAAGCACATTCTAAAGAGATGCAGAAGGTTTCAAAATGTGAGATCCTTTTACAGAAAAGATTTATACCTTGTAGGAGAAGCGCTTCCCATCGTACTTCACTTTAGTGTTTTTCTTCAAACTATCAAACAGGGCCTTATTAGAATTTACATCAACGTAGCATGCTTCATTTATGTCTTCTGGTGTGAATGCTTGTCTTGTCTGCAAAAGGTGGAATGAGGCATAGATTAGCACAGACCAAGAGTGTAAAATGTTCCATAATGCAATGTTCCATAGCAAAGTATTCTTTACGGACCCAACCTCGTGATAGTTAAAAGGCAAAAGAACAGCCTTACCAACCTGCTCATAAAATAATTTAGGGGTTTCTTGGTTCTGATTTGTTTACAAAAGCAGCAAGTTATAAAATATGAACTTTCCAGGCAATCATCTTGTTTATTTTTTTTTATTTCCTACGTGTTTGCACATAATGAACTGCACATATTGTTTTTGTTTAAGCCATTTGTTGCATAAATATATTCCACAACTAATTATGATTGGATCAGCAGCTAACTCCTTTCTGTAATGGAGGCCTTATGAGTGTCAGCAGTTGATCATATGATCGACCTAATATGTCAACTTTTCTTCACAACAAGGTTTGTAACATGAGAATTCTTCAATGATGACCAAACCTGATAATTTTCTATTAGAGTGCCTTGAAAATCTAACAAAACATAAAAGTCATATAAAATTAGATGTTTGGACACTACTAGAAAAAAAGTAGGAACAATCATAAATTTCAAGAGGCAACACTTGTAAATTACCACCTTCATAGAAATAAAATATCATACCTCAAAAAGTAGGTCAATAACACGTTTAAGCTGTGCACCGACAGGAGACTTTCTAATTGCATTAATGTGTTGCAGCCTTTCTGTATCATTTGAGAACTTCACTGATGCTATAACTTTTGGAGGAGCTGATGCAGGTGTTGCTTTGTATGGCTGAGCAGCCTTCGAAGGTGCAGCTCGAGCTGCTATACTGCTGAGAGTTGACTGGCATTTCTCCTGTTGTTGCTTAAATCTATTGAGGCTTTCCTGAAGTGACATCTGAGAAATGACCAAAAATCACGAATGAAACACTAACTGAACTATGTGATTATTGCATAAAAGAACTTCTAATTCAAAGCATCCAAACAAATTTGCCATGACAAGTTTTGAATATGTGGGTTTAAATCATATTTGATTGATTCGCAAGTCTTCCAAGAATAAATACATTTAAATCTTAGAAGTCAATCATCAGTAGAGCCTTAGGGATTTTGAGTTGTGATCCATAGCCAAACCCACCACCAATGGGAGAAGGCTTCAAGATGATCAGAAGAAGACGTATCATTATTGTAGTGTTTTATGCTAAGGCCTCTATAAAATTAGATAATAAGTCCACCAGACCCATCAGGATTACTCAGAGGTTGCAGCTTAAAAATGTGTGATGCTGTTAATTTCACTGCATGTGGATGAGAGAACATATACAGCAAAAGGATGGCTTAGAACTAACAAGGAACACAAATCTCGACCTTTTAGTAATAGAGTTTTGAAAGTAATTTGTGTAAAGGGTCGCCATCTAACTATTGTTAAACATGTGACTTAATGAAGACAAGACAGATCATCATCAATAATTGAGCTTCAGGAAGGATACCCAGAGATCCAAACTTCAAGGTTGAAGTTATTTAATATGCAATCAACACTTACATAAAAGTGGATAGGTGAAGTGTAGCATTTCTTTGTACTAGTTCATGAATATTGCAGTTTGTATCACAACTTGTTTGTCTGGCTACATAAATTGAGTCAACATGCAGAAACCAACAATGATCAAGCTAAATGGCAATTTAAGACTGGACATCTTGACATGAGTGATACTGACATGTTATTCTTTAAATTAAAATGAACCATAGAGAAATGAAACAAGTGAATCTCTATAATGTGACAGAAGGTAGAGAACTAAAAGTTAATTCCAAGAAAAACTCTATAAGACACACATGCAAAACAGTGAAAGACAACTTTGAGAATCTACAGAGAGATGAAACTAGAAATTATTGTTAATGATGATCATCTGAAAAAAAAATTGCTTGTTGGTTGATCAACACGAACAAGATATAGTCAGTGTCTTTGATATGGCAGAGATATTGTGATCCAGAATAAATATCTCAACCAAGATAAGAATCTGTTTCTAGAAATTATGGTTTACACCAGCCAAGATGATAGGATATGAAAACAAATTCCTATTGTATCTCACTGCAATGATCAAGGGACATGGAGATGCAACAGAGACCAAGTACAGCATGTGGAACTTGAGAAGCATACCCTTCTTGACTCACCACGCAACAGTATAATCCCCTACATGTGATCACCACCGCCTGGGACGATAAAACCGATACATATAACAAAATTATAGGCTTGTTCAGGAACGATTATTGTTCCCGATAACCTAGAGATCAAAAGAGGAAGAAAGATAGATCGACTTAATTCACAAAACAGGAGTCGTAAACCTACAGACCCATCAAAGGTCAGAATCCACGATCAAGGAAGAGGAAAGTTGGCCAAAAGAGGGGAAAAGCTTACGGGTCGTGAACGATTTGCACCTGATGAATCAGGGACGCAAGTGGTCTCCAGGAAGGGGAGAAGGAGCAATTGAAATCCAATTGGGGGAAGAGGGGAACAAAATAGGTGTTTAGGGATCAAAACTATACATGGGCCATTCGTAATAAAGAGGTTCTCGGTAAGAGGACACGTGGTTTTCTCCAATCTCAAAGCATGGAACGGATATTCGCCGCCACTACTCTCTTCGTCCTGATCGATTTAGGGAGGGCCGTTCAGCGTCAGGGAGGGCGTGGCTACGGGCCGAGGATCGGCACTGGAGAAAGCGAGAGGGAGGGTGGGGACAAAGCAGGCGTCGGTGGTGGAAGAAACCCTATGCCCTTGCAGAATCTGCCGTGGCTGTAGCAAAGATCAGTTGGGTCTTACGGCGTAGGGAGAGAGATCTCTGCGAGGTAAAGGCGGAGATCTTCCTCCGCGTCGGCACGCTCCCGGATCCCGCAGCCGATGGCCACCGCGATGCACCGCCGGGGCTGTTCTCGTTATCCACGGCGAAGCAGCGGAAGGCAGAAAGGGCCGGCCTCGATGTGGGGGGTCTCGGTTGCTGAAATATGACGAATGCGATTATCAAATAACGGGCTAATTACATAAAACCCGTATTAAAAAAAGTTACTATCATCATTATAAATATAAAAACAAAATAAATAATTTTATTTATTATGATATCGTTAGTTATATTATGAAAAATATAACACATGACATCACGTGATGCACGCTGGATCAGTATGAAAATGATCTAGATTTTTTATATATATAAGAAGTTGTAGTTCCGTTTTTATAATTTGTTCCGTAGAGAAAGATCTAATTGTTCCAATACATTTTTTTGATCATGGTTGTAAGTTACCATGAAATAAAAAAGATAATTTTTAATATTTATTTTATTTTCATGAGATATTAAAATTATCTTTTTATCAATAAAGTCTATTATTTTAATATTCCTTTTATTTCATGAATTATTTTAAATTTTTGATTAGAAGAAAGTTGAGCAATTCATCTAATTTTTTTTACTATTAAGCTTTTCTTGAATGATATCCTCCTAATTAATTTTTATTTAGGGATTTTTTTTATTATTTTGATAAAGATGCTTCTTCGTCTCAACCTCTCTCCCTCGATCGTCATCACCACCACCCTTCCCTATCGATTTCTTCCTCTCCTTTCTCTTTGCCCATCACAGGGAACGACAAGCGAGAAGCTCCTCTCCTCTCTCTCAATCCGTCACGAGGAAGGGTGAGTGAAGAGGGAGGAGAAAGGGAGCGTAGAGGAAAGAGACAACTGATGAGAGAGAAGAAGTGAGACATAAAGATATTTTGATCAAAAGTGACAAAAAAAAAATCCTTAGATAAAAATGAATTAAGGGAACATTATTAGATAAAGTCCCAATGGTAATTATCTTTTATGTAAAATGCACAAGAAAGTTCACATTCAACTTTATATTGGATTTTGCAATAAATACAACCTGTTTTGTTTTGAAAAAGAGAAAGTTATTATTGTTGAAGACACCTATGACGTGCTTCTTTGTATTTTTACCATTTTGTGTCAATGACGATATACAATCATTTCCTTCTCTATTAAAATAAAAACGAGAGGAATTGTAATCATCGAAAAAAGCAAGGAAGACACCAAATAAAAACTTGTGTTTATTAAGTTGTTCGGATTTTACCAGAGCAAAGTAACTGATTCAAAAGGGTAACAAAATATTATATTTGCACTAAGGAATCCTAAGAACCTTTCTGGGAATCTTCAGAGCAAGCACTAGAGTACCACATTTACAAAATTCCACTTGCTTTGATTAGAAACAATGTGATGAATTCAATCTGGCAAAAAATGAAGATTAGAAACAAGATTTTCTATATTGTTGGTTTTCCATGAAATCAGGAATAACTGGGTGATTGTCAATCATGCAACTCTTGCCTAACAAGAACTGAAGATTACTATTCGAAATTACCAAGCAACATTCCTACTGAAGTATATTAATTCCAAGCAGCACTATTACAAATGACCAGACAAAGAATTCCCAATCAGGATTTTCTATTCGAGATCATGTACATCATAACTAGACCACTTGGAGAACTCAGTCGTAACAGATTATTGCACAGGCAAAAAAAAAACCATTGTGCTTAAGTATGAATTCTGCATTCAGTCTATGGAGTGGATATTACTGCTATCACTAGCTACTTCCCAGGAGATGAATCATAACAAGAACTAGTTTTCAAAGGGTCCTGAATCACAAAACAAACGAGATTTGAAAGGTTCAACTGAGTTTAATGTCTTAATCAGGAGAAGACAACTGTCCTTGGCAGGACTGCTGTTTTCTTGTTTTCTATCCTTTGAATATGATCACTTCTGCAATTAAAGACATAACAATGTACACTTGATTTGTTTATTCAAAATTCAAAATAAGAAAAAAGACCATGAATTACCTTTCACTATTTGCATATCACAAAGGCATGGCAATTTCATATTTACTTTTGATGTAAAACTAGTTCAGAAAGATTAATTTCTCTGTAGCTGAAATTTTACTCTAGATACAGACCTCTACCTTAGAGAAACAGAGAGCTATCATCAGTGAATCCTATAGCTAATAGTTTCTCACCATGTACATTTGTTAACACAATAAAATGGTCAAGCTATCATTAGTATTATATTAGAAAATAAGAAAACCACGCTTATTAACTAATAGTTCGATCCAACCTGACTTTACCAACTTGTTTTAATAAGTGATGCTTCGTCCCCACTTGGCATTTGCTCCAACACTCAAATTTTGTACATACAATGCTACTTGTATGCACAAAATTTACAAAGATATCCTTAATATGCTATGTCTATGTCACATTGACACTGTGGCAAAAATGTCGGATTGATGCACTACCCTTGGCTAATACAGCACCAATCAAGTGCACATATGGTGCCTCTATGAGCTCCTACTTCTATACATGCCACATTATTCATTTGTTACTGCCACTTCTTTTGAGGCTAAAACATATAATCATTTATTGTCCAGAGTTGCTTTGCTCAATAAAACTGTTATCATCAACTTCTATTTAAAAATTACAATCTCTATGATCATATATTGCCAAGGCAATCTTGCCCCTCTCTACATAAGACTTAACCTAAAACAGATTAAAAAAGACTGAATATTAGTTTCTTGTTTAGAAATGAACACTTGTAGTTAAAGGTGCCATACATGTTCCATCATTATTTTCTTTCAGATGATCAATAGCTGAACAGATATAACAAAATATTATGTCTCAACAATAACTGAACAGATATCTAAAAACAATAACTGAATATTTTGAACAACAAAAGCAGACATAAACTAATCTGTTCACATTAGGCAAGATTGTATACCTCAATTACAAGGTTGTCAAGGAGATAATTAATTTAGATGGTTCAAAAAAGGAACTCAAATACTCAACAAAACAGTGTGCTGTGATTCTTTCCGTCTTCCTGGGTGGTGTCAACTGGAATTTAGTGATCCATTACCTTTCAGGTGGAACTTATTTCTTGGTTTGTTGGATATTTATATTCCAATATTTAAAATGCTCTCTCTATTCTTAATAGTACTCTTTCAAATTTCAGATTATAGAAACTTGATAAGCATGCTCCCTTGAAGATAGCCAGCTCCAACAGCTGTTTCTCAAGGTATTTCTCTCCACTTACTCTGAACTAGGTCACTGTTTCATTGTAAAGCTGCTTGTGCTGTCATGAAAACACAACAGGGGAGCTACTTAAACTTCCAGTTAATAAGAAGCTCTTCCATAAAATTTCTATTGAACAAAACAATCTATGTCCGTCGGTTAGGGAGAAATCTATGTAATTTATATAATCGAGCATCAAGTAACCTGCATTTGAGCTTCGATGTTTTCCAATAATACAATAATCTCTTCGATTTGTGAATGCAAACTATCCCCTGCAAGAAATTCATGAACTTCCCCATTCACCTCAATAGAACTACAACCTGGTGTTTTCCTCAACCCCACAGCATTCATCTCCTTCCTCAGTTTCATAAAGCTACCCCAATCACTAACTTCTGCATATATTTTTGAGAGCATCAATCGGGGCCATGGATCAGATGGGTCCAACTCAATCAATTCCATTGCTACAACTTTACCTAGCTCCACATTTTTGTGAACCTTGCAAGCACTTAGCATAGTCCCCCACAAAACTGCATTGGGTCTCATAGGCATCCTCGATATCATATTGTATGCTTCTTTTAATCTGCCTACACGACCTAAAAGATCGATCATACAACCATAGTGCTCAATCTTAGGTTCTAGGCCATACATTTCCTCCATAAAAGAAAAGAATCTATATCCTTGATCTACTAGTCCTCCATGAGCACATGCGTTTAGAACACCAACCAAAGTCACATCATCTGGTTGAATTCCTACTTCTAGCATCTGGAAAAACAAATGGAGGGCATGGTCAGCTTGCCCATGCATAGCAAGCCCACAGATTATCGAAGTCCATGAATACAAGCTTCTAACTCGGGCACCTTCAAAGACTTGAAGAGCCTTTTCGATGCTCCCGCACTTGGCATACATATCAATTAGGCAGTGATCCAAAGATCCATCAGAGTTCAAACCACTTCTTCCTAAATAGGCATGGAGCCACATACCAGTGTCCAGGGCACCCATGCTAGCACAGGCGGACAGAACAATGTACAGGGTGAGCTTGTTAGGCTTCTCGCTAGAAAGTTCCATCTCATGGAACAATGCAAACGCCTCTCTGCACCTACCCACTTGAGAACACCCTGACATCAACGTGTTCCATGAAACCACATCCCTCTCGGGCATCTCGGCAAATATTCCACGTGCCAGTTCAATCGCTCCATGCTTCAAACACTGATGTATGATGGTATTCCAAGTGACGAGAGTTTTAACAGGCATTTCATCAAACAGATGCCGACAGATATCTAACTTACCATGGTTGCCATAAGCCTTAATCAACTGAGTGCTGACAAACGGATCGATCACAATCCCACTACCGATAATATATCCGTGAATCATCTTTACCATAGACAAGCTGCCCAATTGGCAGCATGCGGATATCGCGGTCGCCAGAGCAATAGGATCTGGGGACAGGCCGGACAAGACCGTAGCTCGGAATAGCTGCAACGCTTCGGCAGGCTGGTCGACAGTGACGTAGGCCCGGACCATGGCCGTCCGAGCGACGAGGCCTGCATCAGGTATTTCATCGAACAGCTGACGCGCGATGTCGACGAAGCCGATGGCAGAGCAGACGGATATAAGAGCGCTGGAGATGAATTCATTGGAGAGGAGTCCGACCTTGCGGACGTGCGAGTGGAGCTGTTGTGCCGCGCGGAGAGCCGAAGGTGCAGCGAAGGTGGTGTCGGTGGCGATGGATTTGATGAGCCGCACGAGCGAGCGGGTGGTGTGCCGCAGGGGCGCGTCGATCATGCGGCTGAGGTCGTATCCAGAGCGCATTTGACGGCCTTGATGTCTTTGAGTGGGTGATAAGGCAATTTTGGTAGTAACTCCTGACGGCTGCGATTAGCCCTCATCAACTGATGACGAGGACCGTGAAGTCACTGGTGAAGCAACGAAATCGCACCGGTGTTGTGGTGTAACATTGGCACAGAACTTAAAGCTGTTAATCAGCTATCTTTACGGATCTTCAAGCGGTTTCGACGCAGATCGTCAACCCAGTCCATAGACACGACATGGGCCACACCCGAGTCACAGGTAACGCGAACCATCGCCACCACCACCACATGTTTTGCTCGTCCTGCAACAACCGCTGCTTTTTTCTGTTTCTTTTTCGCAACGGATATATCAACGAAACAAGAGAGCGGAGCTCGAAAGCCACACCATGTCGATCGCAGGCGCAGCAGCGGCAGCGACTTGCTCGCTACCTCGCCTCCGCCGCGCCCGCGAGGTGGTCATCACACCGTCCCCGCGCGCCTCATCGCGGCTCCTTTCATCTGACTGGCGGCGGTCGCCCGCGGGACGAGTCCTCGTCCCCGGTCCGCCGCTCCCCACCCCGCGACTCCGACGCGCTAGGCTCCTACTCGTGGCGAGCGCCGTGGACTCCACCCAGCCCTCCTCCTCTTCCGCCAAAACTGTCGTCCCGGACAACGAGTTCTCAGTCGCCAAGGTTTCCTCCTTTATTCGCTTCTTTTTCACCAAAGAGATTTTTGTTTTGCTTGTGTCCACGATACACCGTAGAGGCGGGGGTAGGTTGGGGTGAGGCATATATGATAATTAAAGGGATCTAGGGCCTTCTTTTAATAGCTTTAGAGTTGGGCTTCATAGACCACTACTGGACTGTTCATACAATGTGACGATTTGCTTGATTATGTCCAGATTCATCTTGGATTAGTTCCTTTCTTGATTAAATCTAGTTAAATGTTAAGAATCTGTAGATGAACTGCATAATTATTTTTGATGAACTTCATATCAAGTATAACATAACCTAGATTAATTATTTTGGCTACAATAGTCTGAAAAGAAGTTTGTTTTAGCATATACGTATACGTATACTGAAAGTACAGTTTATTTTTTCTATGCATTCTGTATATACTGAGACATAGTGTGTGAAAATTGCAAATTCTCTGTGGATGTATATGAGAAAATATATTTGATAGAAATTAATAGATTCGGATCGGGTGAAAAGTTGGGTTATAGGGCTGAATTTAGCTCCACTCAAGCTTAGTTACACTGAAGACTATCATCTGTCAAGCTCAGTTAAAAGTTAGGGGTGCTTGAGCTCAATTCATTGTATATTAATTCATATATATTTAGTCCAGAAAGTTGTACGGCTTAGTAGTTGTACAACTTTGATGTTTGACATAACTTTCTTATCATGTTACAGGTTTCATTTGGTGTTATTGGTTTAGCAGTGGGTGGCAGTCTTCTCTCGTAAGTTCATGCACTGTACATACATAGATGACCAAACCAGCATTTTGATGTCCATAACCGAGTGGTTTTTTTGTTCCTAGATATGGATTTTGTGCATATTTCAGTATTCTGCCTGGGTCTGAGTGGTCTGCTCTAATGCTTACATATGGATTTCCTCTTGCAATTATTGGTATGGCTTTGAAGGCAAGTAACTTCTTTGGGAAAGCTTGGTATCTTTGTGAATGCAAAAGATAATGATTATTATTAGTGATATAAATGATTTCCTCTATATGTTGATATTATATTAGTTTGACACTTTGACTCAGTCATTTATACAAATTTGCAGGCAATACTCGCAGTCTCAGCACTAATTGCTGAGTTCATTCTGCAATCTTGGTCATAATAATTGTCTCATACAAAAAGAAGTAAAAGTGAATAAAAGGAATCATATCTAGTTCAATTTAAATTAAAGTACTGTCATTTGGTGCAACCAACCAACACGCATAATAAATGTTTAGGAGTCATATTTCTTTGTGTTATAGAGAGCTTGGAGTTAGAAAATTCCCTTTTAGCTGAAAATTCCAAGTTTTAGGTGCTAAGACCAAATTCTGGTGCTTTCAGGGTTAAATATGAGTCCAATACTGGTTTCAATAATCTGTCAAACTAGTATGGTATTTAAATACCTGGTGGTATATAAACCTATAATATTTGGTATCACTAAAGAAAAAAAATTAAAAAAATGGAAGCATACTGAGCATTACTGTGTTGCTTGGTCCACTACGAGTACTTGGTCCAACCTCCATAAGTACCTGGCCTATGTTTTAAACCATAGTCCTAACCATGCTTTAGCTGGGAGCTTTAATCTCATTAAATGTCATGAGAGTTAAATTCCTCCTTGATGAACTTACAGGTTTCTTGTCTAGTTCTGAACATTATGACTGAATTTTACGTGGATAACATTCCTAAAGTCAATATTTGCTTAGCTGATACTAATTTTATGTGCATTAGATCATGCTAAATTTGTAGATGTTGCATCTGAGCCCTTTCTCCATGGTTACCAAGCAATATACATAAAATTCTAGAAATCCAATGAGTAACTCATTCTGCAGAATTTACAACAGAAGAATATATTTGTTCATTTCATGACTATTTAGGCAAGTCATAGATTCTTTGAAAAGAAAATTTTACCTTTTAAAATTTTCTATTAATTGATGTGGCATACATGCAGTATGCAGAGCTCAAACCGGTGCCATGCATAACTTACTCTGATGCAGAGGTTCTGAGGGAAAGATGTGCTACTCCTATTCTTAAGCAGGTGAAGTTTTAAAGCTGTTGTAGGTTTTTTGGCTCAAGTTGATTCAAACTAAGGATATTATGAACATTAAAACTATTTTTTTCTGTTTTTTCCATTGTTCTTAGAAGGAAATGCATCATGTTCCATGATAACATTAAAGGGGATTGATCTATAGGATCCTAACTCAAGTGTAAAAAAGCATATGGATTATTTAGATGTAAATATATTCTGGAAGGTCAGAACATGAATATGTCTTTTATCTTAAAGAGCATAAGAAAAGAAAATTATTTATGGATACAAGAAAAAAGAAAAGAAAAATTAGGCAGAAAAAAGAGATTGGATAGGCACAAGGACTTCATGCATCTTTCCTTATTAAATTGTTGATCCCTCTCAATCATCATGTTACTGTAGGATCAGGTTTGATATGGAGCACACAAGGACTATATCTTAATTTTTAAGCACAGTTCTTAAGCCTTTTTTTCATAGGAATCAAGTTTTTGGACACCTGAGATTTGATATTCAATCTTGATGGGTTATGATTTTGTGGTTTAATACAATTGTGATCAAATGTCTGATTGCTTAAGAAGATTTCTTTTGTCTTGATGCATCTTGAGAAGTATCTTTATATATAGTGAGAAGCTTGCTATGTAGAGCCTCATTTGACTAGCACCTACTTAGCTCTTTAGGTAAGGAGTGATGTTACACGATATCGTTATGGTGATGAGCAACACTTGGATGAGGCATTGAAACGGATTTTCCAATATGGCCAGGTAGTCCCTCTGACTAATCAACAATCTGATGCATTTTAGTTTGGGTTCCATTCTTTTTATTCCTTAGACAAGATATATGCTTCTTTTTGGTTCAATGTATGGAGCTTTTGCAATATTTTGAAGGAAAGTATACTTTTATAAGTGAATTTACTATAAAATAGTGAAAGTTGTGGGGAAAAAAAAATACCTATGTTCCTAAATGTATCAGGGTAACTTGGATTTTCTGACAATTACTACTCTAGTTCAGAACTCCATTCGCAGTTTTTCTGTTCATTTATAAGCAAATATGTCTGCTCAAGTGTAAAGATTTCATGTGTTGTTTTTGTCTTTTTATCAATCGAAAATGGAAAGTTACCCTTCCTAACTGCTGTATGTCATTTTGCCAATCTAGTATCTCTCACTTCACCCCAAATTTCAGTGCTTCTATATTGTAATTAGTCAGTGGCACCTTCCTCTGCATCATAGTTTATCTGTAGATGGTGATTGTTTCTTGACCTTTGTTTAAGATGTAGGAATCAACATTATTTGCTTCTAAAGTAATGATACAAACTACAAAGTAATGATACACATTCTCATATTTTATCTACTTCTAAAATTTGTCTTGCCAATAAACAGTTATCATCATCCTATTTTGCCATCATCATTATCCAATTTATGCAGCCTTCTAGCTATATTGAGTCAAATATAGGTTGTTATGCTTATTATGAGGATCAATGACTTTTTATTAGTGATATTCATTGTGGATTCCTACTTTTCCAATTTGCTAATTGTTAGCTGACATTTTTTTGTTCATTGATTTATAGGGTGGTGGGATCCCACGGCGTAGTGCACCAACCTTACAGACTATACGTGAAGAAGTATGTTGTTACCACATCTAAGCAAAGTTCCATTGTCCATTATGAGAATGTGCTTCTTAATTTTATGGAATCTAATGACATGTTGCAACTACATAATCTTATTGTTATTGCAACTATGAGAATGCATTAGTGTGCTCAATCGGGAGATTTAGTTTGATTTTGTTGTGACCTAGGAAAAAATATGAGCATGGAAGTTTATACTAGTATTCAGACATTATAAATTTTCAATGTCCTTATACAAGCTGTTTTACTTTTTTTAGAGAAAGTTAGAAAAAAAAAGCCCATCATATTTATTTATTGAGAAATTGAAATCAAGCAGGTCTAGACTGTCCATAGTAGAAGAGAGGAAAAAGATAAAATGGAGGCAACTCAAAATTGGAAACGTGGAAGGGCAAATTAGAAGAGGAGTTGCCAAACTAGAAGATTTCAAGTTCCAGTTAGCTGAAGTAGTTGTTGCCAAGCAAATGGAGTGCACTTGTAAGAATAAAATTGGCAGAAGCCCCTTATAGATTCTGCAGTTGCAATACTTTTAAATGCTCAACCAGAGAGTGTTGAACCCAGTTCGACCATAGGGCTGTGTCACCAATATTCTCAGATCTTCAATACTTGTAACCTTACAAGTGCAATGTGAATCCAGTGGATAGGATATGTTTTA